GGATTCAAAAAGAATTACCAGCATATAATCGACTTTTACGCGCGACTCGGCGTGATGATCCGTCTCAAGATGCCCTACATGGCCACCGGCGAGAGCGTCCTTCGCACTTCGATCTCGGGAGAGTCGCGCACATTCAAAAACACTTCGCACTCTCATTCGTGGCTCATCGACACCAACAACATCGTATTCAAGAACGACGGCCGCATGGTCGCCAAGAACAAGGCCAAGCCGCGCAAAGTGGAACCGCCCAAGCCGCCCGCCATCAGCGCACCCTTGGCACTCCCGGTGGGATGCTTCGATGACTCTGAATTGGATGACTCCGTCGACCGCCAATCCGCCACCGCACCCATCACAAGCAGCGTCACCAAAGACGGACTCATCGTCCGCACATCACAGCCGACAGACTATGGAGGAAGGGTAAAAGTGACAAGACCCCTCGCCAACATCAGCATGCCCGCGTCAAAGCAAGCCAGAGCCATGTCCAGGAACATGAAATTGACCGATATGAGGATCCTCGCCTGCGTGGACTCGTGCGAAGAGATGAAGCCGCCGTTGGTATTCAGCATCGCCACATCCAAGAACAAGTTGACGCGACCTACCACATGTTCACGCCCAGGCAGACCTCCCAAGCGCAAGACTCCTGAGGTCGCGTTGTCCCTCGCAAGCGCAGGGAAAAAGACCAAGCCATCGAAAGAACCACCAGCAAAAAAGCGCGGCACCATCAAGTTGCTCGGCATCATCAAAGTCGACCCCTAGGCAATCAATAAACCGCGCCGTAAATGAATGAATCACTGTCAAATACAATTTATTTTTTCGAAAATTTCCCGAATGTGTATTGATGCGTCTGCGCCCATTTTATCTGGCGCCCAAAGAGTCAAAATTCCGATCCAGACAATTTATTCTGGCGCCAGTTGGGTAATACTTAAGGACCCACATTCATGGCACACAATCGCACAGACAGACAGACATCGACGCAAGAGCACTCATGTTTCCGACGTCATTCCCCACGGACGAAGAGTCAGACTCTATCACCGAAGCACTGCCGGTTCTACCGGCATGCGAGGATCTGTGTCCGCAATATTGGATTGCACCGCACATATGGTCTTGCTGGGAGAAAGCGATATGCGAGTCGTATGGAAAGACTTATGGCAGCAGCAGCGACAACTGGTCAAAATTGAAATCCCTGCTGAAAGACAGGGATGACATCCGCATCATCTACGCCGACGGAATGGCGACTGACGCAAGTGAAAACGTGCCTTCACAATGCTCTGTTCTCTACATCTACGTGCGTGGAGTATCAGTCGACAAGATCTGCCGCTTTGGCGTGCAGTCTTTCAAGGACATGTCGCGGCCGCAACCGGCGAACCCATGAGGTGCGCTGTCGTCAAGATACCTGGATTCGACGAGATACTGGATATTCTCAATCGCGAGCGAGACCAACCTCTGACGGCTTTTGACCTCGCGACGTTGAACATGAAGCCAGTCACCAAGATCAACAACTTTTGGGATGGCGAACTTGAAAAAAGCATGGATCCCGAAAGCCACATCGAATATGACGAATCCATGTGGAAGCGCATCAAGTGGTCTGCCATCAGACTGTGGTCCTTTGACGAACATACATACGGAGGCCTGATCCATCTGCCCATGTTCAACAGCACGTTCACGCGCATGGTCAAATTTACTTGCGAAGTGAATCCTGACGACGTGATCCTCCCGTTCGACCTTCCATTGGTGGATTTCTTATGCGACGGAAGGACCGGCCTGTTGCATAAGAATCAAAGCCATTTTCCAAGGCGCCCTATCTCGCGGACATCACGAAGGACTATCCGTGGAAGAGTATGTCAAGGCATTTATTGATCACATTGATGGTGTCAAGTCCTAGCAATGTCAAAAGGCGCTTGGAATATAACATTGGAAAAATCTTCGGCCTTGCTGATCTCTTCTCCTTCTTCTCCCTGGTCACTTTCATTTTCCTGTTGCTGTTGACGGTCACTTGAATCACGTTGTCCACTGCCGCTGCAACTTTGATTTTTCAAAAAGGTCGTTGTGCTGGAAGGAAGCGACTTGGCGAGCGTCGGAGGAAAGAGCGATATGTTGCCCACGAGGGGTTTATCAGTGGCGAGATTTCTGACTTGCACGTAGCGCATGTGGACGGCAGCGGTGTCAGACTTGATGCTGTAGCACTTCATCCATTGAAATTCGCGCCCGTTGACATCTGGACTCTCGATGTAGCACTTCATCCACACATAATCCTTGCCTCCGATGTCGGGACTCTCGGCATACACGGTGCGCAAAACAAGTGTCTCCCCCTCTTGGACGCTCACCGGACTGCACAACTTGGCGATCTTGGCGTCGTCGGTGATGCCCTGCTTCTTGAGATTGGATGGCAGATCGGAATAGATTTTGACACCCGGCGCGATGACCTGGCCGTAGCACATAAAGGATTCGCTCTTGAGCGTCTCCAATTCCTTGGTGACTGCGTTGTGGTTCTTTTGGACGATGGTTCTGATCTCCGAGTTCATGCGCGTCAATGCGGTGCTCAAGGCGTCAACTTTCAACTCCAGGTCCTTGATGGGATCGATGATGACGGGTGACTGGTGCTTCTACTGGTGGCGCTGTCCCTGTGAGATGCAGACTGCATGGTATCGTGGCGTCCGATGAATCCGGGTTCAGAATCCTTGCGTGATCTAGAAGTGCCACGAGGCACAGGCGGGACATGATTGTGCGATCGATGGGGTGAAGGTTCATTCCGACGACGGCGCCGATCGTAACCACGACCGTAGTCTTCTTCTTCTTCTTCATCATCGTCGTCGTCGTCACCAAAATTGGCGTTGTCGTAATGACGGGCATTGCGCTGCTGATCTTGTACCGCATGTGTGTTTTTGCGCGATTGATGCATGATGGCGGTGTTGTGTCTTCTCGCGTGGTCGTCTTCCTCGCTCTCGCTTTCAGAATTGTGACGATAAGCAGGTTGATTGCGGTGTGGGACATTTGGTGTTTTCCTCTGTGCTGAGCGGGTGGGGAATCCATCATCGTCATCTTCATCACTGCTGATGTATCGTCCTCTGTTGTTCACATTGAATGACTTGTTGTGATGGGGGCGTTCGGATGATGGACGCATCCAATCACGCGCGTGTCCAGAGGGTTCTTGGTCATATTCGTAGTCGCTGATGTTGCGAAGATGACCGCGGTTGTCACTGTCCCACTCGAGTGCGTCTGCACCACCGCGTTGCATTTTCAAATTTTCCAATTGTTGACTTGATGTGCACTGTCGTGAGCAAAAGGAACGAGGTCTCGATGTTATGGTAAATCACCACTGATGGCGGCTGTTTCCTATGGTGCCGGGATATTGTTTTTCTCATACGCCCCCAATGGCACGGTCCATTTCGTGATGGCGCGTAATTCTTCCCAGTCCAAGTCCGTGGCGCGCGATCGATTTTGCGACCTTGGCGGCTGGGCGAGACCAGGGGAAGGCGTCGAAGAGTGCGCATGCCGAGAGGCGGTCGAAGAAAGCGCGGGTCTCTTGGACATTTCCCCTGACGAATTGGCTGACGGCCAGTACACACTGCGTGTGGATTTGGACCTCAACCACGGCAATCCAAAAAGGAACGGTAAAATCAAGAAATATGTCACATTTGTAAAAGAAGTGCCGTGGCAGCCAGATCTTTCAGTGCGATTCCATATGGCGAGACAGACCATGCTTGTGTTGGACAGAGTGCGCAGACGACTATTGAGCGCGAGTCCCCACGAGTTGGTCAGCGACGGCGCCGCCATCTCCATCCGCATAAGCGACAGCGGCTGTTGTCAGGTGGTCGTCAAGGCCACCGGCGCCGTCGTGCCTCTCCAATTTCGCGCCGCACTGATGACACGCGTGCGCAACGCACGACGCTTTGTCTTTCAGTGGTCTGGTCGCGGGCCTTACTTTTTCACCATCGATGACAACGACGAGACCGCCATGCAAGTGGCGCAGGACTTGGTCGAACTGTGTCGCTGTCTCGTTGTCCTTCCTTATTCGGTGGCGTGTGCTGCCACGTCAAACACGGGACACCTGCCCGAGGTGCCCAAGAGCCACCAGGAAAAGACAGAAGTGGTGTACTGGGATGCGCGACGCCTGCTCAATGCCATCGAGGGCCAATCCAAGAAAGGCATCGACGAGTTGCGCTCGTCATTTGTTCCGTCTGCGGCGGTGGTGATGGACTGTCTAAGGAGCAACGACGGCACTGATGCGTACACGGTCACTTGCCATTCGTCCATCGCCACACAACGACAACTACAACACCATCAATGGAACTCGACTAATTGGAAAAGAATAAAGGGATGAACCGCATGGCCGACAGATCGCGCCAAAAGGCATCTTCTCCCGCAGCCAAAGAGTATGTCGTGTATGTGCAGCGGGGCGATGTCAACTGTGAGATACTCTTGCAATTCCTGATGAGACGCGGCCTGCGTTCTTTGGTGCATGTCCAACGAGTCGATCGGGTGCCGCATTATGCGTGGTTGCCCTTTATGTCTGATGTGCCGTCGCTGTATCGCCTCGGCACCAACGAGGTGTTCCAAGGCAACAAGGCCACCGTGATAGAGATCAAAAGATTCTACGAAGAGAGATCACGTGAGCCAAAATATTCCCAGGACACGCTGTATGATTCTTCCTCTTGGTTCGCGGATGACGCGCCCTCTCATGATGCGGACAATAGGACCAACACAAATGCGTCCACCCGTGTCAACAACACAATGTCAAACATGACAGAGTCCGATGCTGGTACTGATCCGGATCCGGTGCCGTCGCGACCGCGCAAGAATGAATATGTGGATGGCACAAAAATCAAGGCCTATATGGCCATGAGGAACGCCCTGTACTAGCGATAGATGGTTCATGATAAATGGACGCCACGTCCTCTTTGCCTTTGAAAAGAAAAAACATAGCCATCGCTGTGGACAGCGTCATCATCAGAAAGGGTGTGCCGTTCGTGTACTTGGGTAGGATCCAACGGGGCAAGATTTTATTCAAAGGACCTCTTCTTCCACTGGGGACGGCCCCTTCCTCCGGGTCCTCCGGCAACGGCTGAAGCGGTCTCGGGTGGCGCCATCACGTTGGTCTTGAAGTGATTCAGAAACTGTGTCGAGCGCTTTTGAAAGTGGTCCTCCCTTTTCCAAGTGCCGGTGGACGGCGGCCGGCCGGTCGCGCGACTGTCCACAAAAGCCGCTGTCTTTTGCTTGAGGATGCCTTCGATGCGCTTTTCGTCTTGTTCGCCCAGCGGGTCGGGATCAAAGTGATTGCAGGTGTGGACATCGAGTGGGTAGGGCCACACCATGCCGAGTCGATAATACTCGCGCACTTTGGGATGCACCGTGATGTACTTTACGTGGAATCCAATTACTCTGAGGCCTTCCTTGGACGTGACGCGCGACAGGGCGATGTAGGCCTGGCCGGGTGCAAAAATGCCGTCAAAGTTGACAATGACCCTAGACATCTGGGCACCCTGCACGCTGTGCATCGATTGCGCATATCCCAGGACCAGAGGAATCTGTTCGTGGTAGGCGTATCCGATCTCTTCCTCCTCGACCTCCCAGCGCTCGAGAAGCACCACCGATGTAGTTCCATCTTCCCACTTGACTTTGGGATAAAGCATCCCGCTCTTCTTTGGTGGCGGCGGAAGGGCGAGTTCCTTTTTCTCGTTCTTCTCGCTGTCTCCGGATGCTGATTCCTCTTTCTCGTCGCTCTTGCTCTCGCCCTCGCTTTCTTTCTTTTTTTCGGCCACAGACTTGAGTCGCTTGCATTCGCGCTCGTACGCCTGTTGCATCTCCTTTTCCGCAGGGTCCTCGTCAAATCCGACAATGACTCCACGCATGCCGTTGAAATAGTCGGTGCCTCTGATGTTGCGGATCAAGAGCACTTGGGCCTTGTCCTTGAGCATCAGACTGTGGGGCGCACGACAATTTTCCGATAGATAGATGGCGTGCATACTCGGAGAATTTGCGCATGATGCTGTGGTCTGATCTAAACTCGGGTTCGACAGTATAGCCATTCTTGGAGGAATACGTGTACGGCTTGCCGGGCAGACTGTTGATACGACGCTGGTTCTCTTCGATGACCGGCTTGTTTTTCGCGTAGAGGATTGTCGGCTCTATACCATCATCGGGAAATACCGTGTTGGCGCACGACTTGAAAAAGTCTTCCACTTCGGACGTGATGATGCCCATGCGCACGCAGTTGAGCATGCGCACCATGTGTTCGTCCTTTTGGCGATGGACCTCGGTCAACTGGACGTTGACAAAGTCGAATTCCTTCCACAGATCCAACTCAAAGACAAATTCGCAGTATCCGTCGTCGATGCGAGGGCGGTGGCCGCGTGGCGTCTTGTGCACGGGTGGCAATTGTCCCCAATCGCCGATGCACACCAGTTGGACACCGCCAAATGGCAACTTGGCATACTCGGGATTGATCTTGCCCCTGATGTGACGGATGATGCGGTCGGCCTTGTAGAACGCTATCGGATGAAGCATCGAGATCTCGTCGATAAAGGCGCGCTTGACCTTGGTCCATTCTTCCACCTGATGCTTGAACTCGCCCTTGTCGATCTTGTTGGTGTAGAATCGCACCGACTTGTTCAAGAGTCCAAAGCCGACGCCGCAGTTGAAAGTGACGCCCCCGATGATGTTGGCCGCGCAGCCAGTCGATCCCATCGGCAGAGTGGGCACCTTGTGCTCGTAGCGCGACAGTCCGATGAGATATTGCGTGGTCATAGACTTGCCCACACCGCCGACACCAGAGAGCATGATGTTGCGCCCCGCGGAAAAGGCCTGGATGGCATTATTCTGCTCGTCCGTAAAGGTCACGTTGGCGAATTTGTCCTTGAAGACCTGCAGTCCCTTCTGGTACTCTTCCGAAGTCTCATCCGCGACCATAAGGTCCCACTTCCTCTTGTTGCCTTTGGCCGCCGCGCTAGACTTTCCGGTGGCAGGATTATTCGATCTTCCGGCTCTCATCTTTTTTTGGCGCGTTGTGCACTGGAGAGAAAGCAGGGCAAAAAAGAATGCAGTGGTGTGCCGTCTGTCCGGTCTGATGCATATAAATTAAAAGTCTGGCGCCAGGTTCCAAGTCCCGGAATTTCTAAATATAAAAAATGGAGCAACCTGGCGGAGAAATACGGAGAGTTGTCTGCTTCCCGCCTGACGGCAAGTTGGACACCGTGGCCAAGATACTCCACGTGGGCGAAAAGGGCGGCGTGTACTATGTCAACGAAAAGGGCAAGCGCATCTATCTCAAAAAGTACCAGTACAAGCAACTGCTCGAACAGCACCAACTCAACGGCGCCGTCAACATCGGCACGCTGGATTTCGACAGCATCTCGCCGTACAAGACACGCAATGGCGCTGCAGGAACCACGCAGCAAGCACTCACTGGCAACGCTGGACAACCCGTTGGCGGTCCCGCGCCTGCAACGAGAGGACGCGGAAGACCACGCGGCAGCATCAACAGGGGGCGTGGTGGCGGCAGCACCGCTGGAACACCACCCGCGCGATCGCCCATGCAGCAACAACAGCAATCGCCCCAATATTCACCGGCGCCCATGACACCAGGCGATGACAACTTGCAAGACTATATGTCTGATGCAGCCATTGCACAAGTGGTAGATGAAATCAACGCAATGATCAACAGCGGCGAATTTATGTGGGACGGCACGAACGCGTTGGTGCGCAATCCCAACTACGCCGGACCCATGACTCCGACTGTAAGTGCTTCCGCGAGTTCCCAGAGTGCTCGCACAACTCCACAGCCGTCCCCGTATGTGAACGGTGCGCCTGTCGGAAATGTGCAGTCGTCGCCATTTTGGAGTGGCTCGCTTGCCAACACGCCTCAGCAGTCGCCGCTCTATTTCAGTCAATCTGGTGCAACATCTCAACAATCCTCTTCTTCGTACATTGTCAATGACACTGGTTCACTGGCAACCCGCGGTCGCGGTCGGGGAACTCGCGGTCGGGGCAGAGGGAGCGCTCCGCCGTCACCTGCACCAGCATTTACTCCCCAGCAGCAGCAACAATGGGCCCCCCCAATTTGGCCAAATTTGGCGCGACCGGTGGAGGAACGATATATTCTCCTGGATCCCCACAACCGATAGTGTCACCCGTGCGGAGTCCCTCAACAGGATCATCGAATGCATGGAACCCTGTCATTCCCCAGTTTTATCAGTCGCCCAGCACTCAGAATGCACAGCCATCAACACCAACGCAATATTTGCAAAGTTCTCGTCTCTCATTGCCGCCTGTTCAATCTCCTCAGACCAACAACTTGCCACCCGAGGCAGCCATGTTGAACTTGCCTCCTGATCTTTACAACAGCTATTATGGCGACCCGTCAATGCTCTCAAATGTCTAATGAAGATACCAATAAATTTGTTGTGCAGTTGAAAAAAGAACATGGATCCCAATACAGTTGGTCAGGATCCGGTGACCGGCGAGACCGCACAACAGGCCTCATTATTTGGCAAAAATAGTGGAGAGGGTCAATATGTTTTTGGCGGAAATGTTGCTGTTACTGCTCAGAATCCTCCTGTCACCTTTGGCGGACTGAATGTCCAACCAAATAACATTCCCGGTGCGGTGGCTGGTCCAACTACTGGCCTCACATTTGGTGGCGCGCCGGCTGCTGGTGCGCCTGTTCAATTTGCGGCCGCAACCAGCGCCGCCCCAATTACCGGAGGACCTAATGTTGCGCCAAATTTCTTCACCAAGCCATCTGATTTTGTCGGCGGTGCGGTGCCCAGCATAGCTACGGCCGCTGGGGGACCTAATGTTCCATCAAATTTCTTCACCAAGCCATCTGATTATGTTGGCGGTGCCGCGACCGCAATACCCAATCTGTCCATGGCCGGTGTTCCAAATCCACTGGCCACGGGGACAAATGTAGTTGATATTAGCAACAAGACAAATCGCCCTGTTCGCAATGTGGGCGCGAGTGATCTTCTTGGGAAGACTCAGAGCGAGATATTGGCCCAGTTTATGCCACAAGCAGCCGCGCAACAACAGCAACAACAACAAGCAATGGCCGCACAACAGCAGCAGCAGCAACAACAACAAGCAATGGCAGCGCAACAACAGCAGCAGGCAGCCGCAATGGCTGCAGAGCAGCAACGAGCGCCCCCAGGCGCTGGACAAATGGATTTGGAAGACAACGCAGGAAGGTTGGTTGATGTACTTAGAGATACATCGGTGGCCATTGATAACTACAGGAACACCGCCAAGAAGAGACGCCTAGAGTCTCAAAGTGAACTGACCGACGAGGACAAAGATTATCTGGACAAGTGGTCCACCGAGCCGAGCATCAAGGCCTATGTCGATCAGGCGGCCGCCTATGGCGTCGAAGCAAGAGAGGCACGGACAGAGTTGGCAAGGGTGAAAAAACAGCTGGACGATCTCAAGGCGGAATTTACGGCGGCAACCAATGTCAACGCCCAGTCCATAGCGGCGTATCAACAAGAAATCGCCAATCTCACGGCCCAGATCAAAGCATCGGGTGCCGTCGCAGAAGACGCGGCTTCCCTGCGTGCCCGGTTGGAACAGGCCCAGCAAAATGTGTTTGCCTTGCGGTCAAATGCATTTCATCTGTCGGCCGTGGCGATGCAGCAATTTGCCGCCATCATGCTCGACTTTAACCAGCGCGCCATCAAAGGCACCCAATGGAATGCACAGGACGTCAAGAATTGGGTCAAGAAGCAGCAATCGTGGAAGATTGTGCGCTACTACGCACAGACCGCTGCAGTCTTTGTGTCCTTTGACACACAAGGAAAACCCGACCTCCAACTCAACGATGCCATGGTCAGATACGCACTGGCATTTGGGGTGGCAATCATACACCCGTTGAAATTCTTGAGGGATGACATGGAGGCACAGGCGATGGGCATCAAAAAAGTTCAAGATGTGGTGATCAACGTTTTTCCTGTTGACAACAGACCCCCGGAGATAGTAGAAGCCATAAACAACATAGCCAATGCCTACCGCAGCATCGTTGCGTCCTCAGAGTCTATCAACAGCATCATCAGCGCATGCGAGAAATCAAGGACATCGTTCAACCCGGTACAAATTCTCGAATTGTTCTTTAGCAACACCGAACTTGCCAACATCAGGAACTCGATCGTCTATCTGTGGATGGCTCGCTATACATTCTACACATCACAATCCGTAGGCGCCACCGTATTTGGGACCTACAACACGGTGCTCACCCGTATCATGTGCATATCCTTGGACAAGACCAAATGGGTGACGACCAACAGCGGAGGCATCCTCATGCCCAGGAACGTGGCAGCGGTCTATTGCAATGTGCTCGTCATGCACCTGCTGTATTACAGCATCATCGCGACAACAAAGAATGCCGGCAAGAACATACACGAGCAAATCATGGACATTTTGATCGACGGCTCCGGTTATCCATTGCCTGCCACGGACCAAGAGTTCTTTGATCGCATCATTCCCAATGCCGGCGCATATAATCCAGCGTATCTTGATGGACGGCAGTTGATCATGGGCACGGCCGAGAACATGTCCGACCTACAAAAGATCTCCATGGTCATCAAGACATATCCGGTTTCTCCGTTCGCCACCGTGGAGATCGAAAACTCGCTCGTGATGACAACGGCAAGCAAATACAATGGTGCCACTTTCGTACCTCAAGATTTTGTGAGTGTGCGACCCTCGTGATAACACCGCACACCAAAATGAAGCATCGCATAATTTGCCTCGGTGTTAATGTGGCATTCAACACAATTAAAGTCGCGCGATTTCAAAAATCAATGGCAATGAACGCTTGTGTTTTTCTTCTCCAACACCGCACCACAACACATCAGCAATCATGGGAGTCCACGCGTTGATGCAGGCCCTCCAAAGTCTCTGCCCCCAGGTCGTAAGGCGCATCCCACACGTCCGTGAAATTGCCGGATCATCGGTGGCCATCGATGCTCAGCTGTCCATCAACGCCTTCCTTCACGGATACCGCGAAAAGAACAAATCTTCCACCATCGACGAAGAGTGTGTCTTTATCAAATCGGCCATTTGCGAACAGGTCAAGATGCTCGTGTCCCACGACGTCCATCCGATCTATGTGCTCGATGGCAAGGCGCCGCAGTGCAAAGAAAAGGAGCAATTGAGACGCAGGGCACTGCGCAACAAGAACCAACGGACCGCAGTGTTGGAACTGGAATCCATCGCCAAGGAAAGCGGTTGTGAGGCGGACATTGAGGAAGTGTTGCTGGGGCGCCAGCACCTCATTCTCACGGACAAGAACAAGGCAGACAGGAGCGCCGATCTTGTCAGGAAATTCAATCGCTCCAAGGGCATCACGCATTTGCATATTCTTGCAGCCAAGAACGCGATACTTGAGCACGTCGAACAGGGGCGTGTTGATTTTGTACAAGCACCGGGCGAAGGCGAAAGACTGTGCGCGTGGCTGTGCATTACCAAAAGGTCCGACTACTGCGCCACCGCCGATACAGACGCCATCGCTCTGAGGGCCACCAATGTGATCCGTCACTTGCACATCTCGCCCGAGGCAAAACCTGACAAAGGATTCGAAATAATTAGGCCCGTAGAGGTCATGGATGCTTTGGGATTTGACGAAAAGCAATTCGTGGACTGGTGTCTGCTGTGCGGCACGGATTTCCACGACTCGAAAATCAAGGGCATCGGGTGGAAGAAGGCATACCAGTTTATTTCCACACACGGAAGCATAGAGAATTTTTTGCAAGACAAAACAGACAGTCTGCACTACAGACTGGAAGCGCACGACAAGGATTTCAACACCGCGCGCGCGCAATTTTTCGGATGTCCATACGAAGATGAATCTCAAGACACCTTTGTGCCTCGGCGTCCTGCCAAGTGCGCCTCTCAATAAAAAAAGAACATCTGCATTTCACATTCTGACCACCTCGCACAATACAACCCAATTGGTAATATTCCGCAAAAATCGTCCGCGGTCGGAGAAATCAGCGTGTCAGAAATCACGACGTAGTGAGATCTTGTGTCCCATGATTTCTGCCATGAAATCTTGGACGTCGCGTTCTTGGACGTGGCGCGGCCGCGTCTTGTTGCCACCAGAAGAAAAAATTTTAGACATGACTTCGTGTCTCACAGGTATGTCAATACCTCGCGGCAACTTGATCGCCATCATGTCCAACAGGTAAATCCTGTAACACATGGCAACACACATCGCGTGCGAATATAAAAAATTAATGCACGGCTAGATCTCTTTATTGTTGTCATGCGTACAGCACATTGACTAGTCATTGTTTGTCAAGACGCTGCTGTCGTTGCGCACAATCATTTTTCCCTGTGCCACTGTCCAATTTTTCTGCAAGCACAGACTCTACTGTTTGTGTCCCCATCACAATTTTCCCACATGTTGCCCAGAATCATGCACATCATCAATGGAAATGAGGGTTTTTCTCCCGTCTCTTTGGTGATGGCGTGCACTTGCGAGTCCAGTTTGTCCATGTGTTTTTTGGCGTGTGCATTTCTGGCGATTCGAATTTCATTTTCCAAGTCTGCAACATTGGAATCCAAATCAACCTTGCACTGGGGTTGTGTTCCCATTAAAGCATAATTACGCAGTTCTAGCAATAGTACACGCTTTCTGAGTTCGCGGTCGTCAGTTGTGGGCGTTGTAGTACGATTCATAGCGTGCGTCTCCATTCCTCCACTCTTGCATGGCCATATCAATGTTGGCGGTGCTTTCGTTCAGAATCGAGAATATGCCGATTTCCTCTTGGCGGCACACCGTGGGCATTACACGGTCAATGTCCAGATTGTAGTTCCCAAGAGTTGACAACTTGTTCTCGTGTGAGTAGAACGGGATCTTTTCCATGGGGTTCGACTTGCCCATGCCATAGTCAAATTGTCTCTTGTTAGTCATCGCCACTTCGCCCAGGCCTTTTTCTTGCAAGTGCCTTTTGACGTCGGCTTCAAGATCACCTTCGTAGTTGTTCGGCTTGATGATGACGCCAACAAACTTGTAAAGGTCCCGTGTGTCGATGCGATCGAGGATGATGGCCGCATGCTTGAATTCGTCCTCGTTGCGGCGTCTCTTGATTTCCGGAATGATGCCGTCGGTGTAGGACAGAAAAGCATCGACGTCTCTGTTTCTTGCGCATTCAATGAGATGAAGGCCGTCTTCGGCCAGGTAGATGGCGTGTTGAACCATCAACTCGACCGCCCGCGTAGTCCAGCATGTGTAGACCATGGCATACATGTTGAATCGGTGTCTCACCAATTGATGCAAGCAGGGAGCATACTTGGCCGCATAGCAGATCTCGCCATTTTCGATGCGTGATGCTTCAATGACAGACTTGTAGTTGAATGCGGCGGGTTCCGACTGGGTCATCAGGCAGTCACGCGACAGATAGTCAAATTTGTCGGCGTCGATGCCATTCTTGGAGTTGGAGACAATGTCGTAAAGAAATGGACGGCCTGTGTCGGTCTTGTCCACCTTGCCCTTGATCATGCATTTCACGCGCTTCCTCTGGCTCTCGGATAGTATCTTGATGCGGTTGTTGATGCGCTTGAGAAGTGCGCATGATATGTCCTCGTGGTGCCATTCTATCCCGAGGCCATTGACGAGATGCTCAAAGCAATGAGAGAATGGCCCATGGCCGAGATCGTGGCACAGTCCCGCAATCTGCACCAGCATGATATCTTCCTCGTTGATGTGCGCGATGCGAGCGCGCAGGCACTCTAGCAACTCGTGATTAGGATTGGGCGACTGTGCCAACATGCTGAATTCGTGCAGGGCCTCGTCAGATTTTTCCTTGAGGTGGCGTATCCAGTCTCCCGCGTTGCCGCTTGTCCCGACGCAATGTTCGTAGCGTGTGTGCACTGCGTTGGGATACTTGTATCGGAGCGTGCCGAGTTGACAGAGATTCCTCAAGCGCTGAAATTCCGGGGTGTCGATAAAGTTCTTGAGCATGGAAGGCAACTTGATGTAGCCATAGACCACGTCGGGGAATCTGATCCTCTTCTGTTGAAAAAGATATGCCCCCAATGGGGGCAACGCCTTGGTGGCAGACTGCGACTGCATGTGCTCTGCAGATGACTTGAGATTTTGCAGCATGATTTTCGCGACTGTGTGTGTGCGTGTGCGTGTGATGTCTGGTGCTTGTCTGTTCGCGGCGTACAACGGCTCAATCATGATAAAAACTGCGAGCACAAAATGATTTATAAATTTGACTTATTTATTGTGGCGCCAAATTTCCGGAGATGTTCTTTGTGAGATGAGGGGGTCTGGCGTCAGGGTATATGGTCGGGTTCGGCTTTAATAACCGTGGCGCCAATTGCCCCCGCCACCGGAACAATCATCCGAGTCAGAGGACGAGTCGGTGCAAGAGTCCGAGTAAGAGTCAGAGTCGGAATAGTCGGAACACGAGTCCGTGTTGTCGTTGCAATCCCACCCCTCGTGGATGTCGCAATCGTCGCCGAGGTCGCAATCGGACTTGCCCCACTTGCACGAACCATCGGAATACTTGTGGCTGCCGTGTCCACGCGAGCGGCTGTGCTTCTTGCCATCGCGACGGTACCGACGGTTGCCCGAGTCCTTGCGGTCGTCCCTGTATTTGTCCTCCTCGTCCTGGCGACCATGGTCCTCGTGACCCTCGCGGAGCGACTTCTTCCTCTTGGCGCAGATGTCCTTCTTGGCCTCGTCCTTGCACTTGTCGATGTGGTGGGACTTGCGGGCATCCTTTTTGTAGTTGTGGTCGTCCTCCTTATCCTTGAGGTTGTAGGTCGTGTAGCGCTCCTGGATGATGCGCTCCCTCACTTCCTTGCACTTGCGCAGATCTCGCTCGTGCGCCCTCTTGGACTTTTGGTCCTTCTTGCTGTCCTCCCGAAGGTCCTTCTTGCGATCATGCTCCTGCATCCTCTTCTGCCTCTCGTCGCCCCTGCGCGAGACCTCATCCTCGTGGCGATGGTTGGAGCGCAGCTGCTTGCTCTTGCGGGCCTTCTTGGCGTGGCAGTCCTTCTCGGCCTGACGCCTGAATTCCTTGTCGTCAGAGGACTTGTCACGGCACATCGACCCAGAGTCGGACTTGTGTGCATGGTGGCCGTCCGACCTTCGCCTATTGTGACGGCGGCGGAGGCGATCGGCGCACTTGTGGGCGTAGGCCTCGTGGGCACGGGCCTTGCGTAGGAGATCCTCGTCGTTGTCGGAACACGAGTCCGAATAAGTACCTGGGTAATGAGTGTGAACCATGGTCCTTTTTTTCTTTCTCCCATTCCCGGCCGTGTCCGATGCACGAGTGCATATCTATAAAAAATAATTCAATTATATTTTATTGCCATCCGCTCGGGAATGGGAATGCCGCCAAAGAGAGGAGAGGAGAGAGAATGACGACCACGAGACACGCCGGCAAATTGATTGATTCGTCGGTCCGGTGGTTGGTCTATCCATCGCTGGCGAATGACAGTAGTAAAAGCCAAAAGGACAATAGAAAGACATGACCGATTGCTTGTGGAATGATGGTTCGATTGACGCCACCGGTACAGACACGAATGGGCGCTCTGGATTTTCGGACCGGTCCTCCAAGCGCGCGCGTCCGCCGCGCGAATGCGTGGTCGAGGTGCCCTCGACGCGCTACCACCGCACCAGGCACCTGATCATGCAATTGCCACGCGTGCCCATCACCAACATTGAAAAGCCGATCAAATATTCGGGGATCGTGACCAGGTGCAAGAACGCGCGAAAGCCGATGGCCCTTGTGGGCGCCTCGCCCATTGATCCCGACGCGATCTCTTTCGGGGGCGCCACATTCCTCATGAGATACGGCGCAGTGGACAATAATTTCAAGTCGGAAATATACACCGTGGATCTGGCCGCCGGAGCGTACCTGCCTCCATCTGGCGACCTGCTTCCCTTTACCGCGATGAATATCGATCTCTTGTACATTGTAATATCCGGACAGGTGGTGTTTTCCGTTGGTGATGTCGTGGGCAACGCACAGATGGGAGCACAGGTGACCTATGGCCAGGGAGGATCGGCTGGAATCAAAGGCGGCACGCCCCACATCGTGCAGGCCACCTCGGACGGACCCGCCACGCTTGCCGTCACCGCTTTGCCTGCGGGCATCCTGGAATTTTACAAGGCAGCCGAGGCCTACCAAAAGTCTGTGGGAGGTGCGCAATTTGTTGACAGGCACGTGCTGCGCAGAATGGGGCGCGAATTGGGAATCAAGGTTCTGGCCCCCAAGACAATTCCCCAACCTGGTCCCGGCGTCGCGACATTTTTGCCAGGACCGCCTGAATCATCCTCTTCCAATAACACCGATTGCGGACGACGCCACCGCGGAGGAGGATATAGTGCACTGACGCCATGGGGCACTGGATGCTATCAGATCCTCGTCTTTGAAAGCGTGCTGCCATCACCACCCGGCCCGTTGGCACCCGGTGTCCTCAAGTTGAGTGCGTCCATGATGGCAAAGACAACTCGGGACTATATCCAACTCCAATCTACTGCCACGTCGGTGACCATACGCGCCCTCGTGATCCGCGACCCATCGTCAGGAACTGCCACCGTGGAACACGAACCCACAATCAACGGCGCGCTCACGGCAACGCTCGCCGCTGGCGCAACCTACGCAGTGCACTATGACGCAGTGGCCAACAATGTGTACATTGCGACAGTTGTGTGAGAGTAAAAACCACTCGAATAAATACTTTTTCCAATTCCTTTTTATTGACAAGTCCATTTGTTGACCCTCGCAGGGAGGAGGGTGTCATTTAGCATGACAAAGTCCTCTGGTAAGGACATGTCTTCATACCCACACACAATGCACGCGGCGTCAAAATGATCCTTGCAATCGAATCGCTGGGCATATGTTAGGTGGTCCTTTACAGACAGGACCTGTTCGCGCATCTGCAGCATTGCTTCGCGGGTCGGCCGCTTGTACGCAGTGTCACTCATTATACTAGATCAAGCAAGTCAGAGGCAATCTTGTTGGCTTCTTCGATAGTGTCAGTCGGCAACTCGAACGTGGCAATGGTGATGCCCGTGCATGCGCTCTTTGTGGCGTTGGCCGTGCAGTAATGGTTTGCGCTGTACACCGGATGGGTGAATCCCCTGCGGCTAAACAACCCCACATCGCGCGACCACTTGCACACCTGTTCCGCCGCACAGTGGCGCATCTTGCTCTTTTGTTTGGAGCCGTCTGCGCCCAGCGGCCACGCCTTCATGACGTGGACATAGAATGATCCGGTGCCCGTGCCGAACGGGCCAAGATGCTCCAACATGACGTTGTTGGTGTTGGACGTGACACAACACGCCCCGCCAAATGTGCGATTGATAACATCCTTAACGCGCTCGAAAAAGTATGAGCGATCGATGCCACCGCGGCGCGCCGCCATGGTCACTTTGGCCGCTCTGACATACTTGTCTAGGGTGTCTTTGGAATCATAAGGTCCGTGCACATGATCGGGAATATAGTCCACGGGCAACTGGTGATGGCGGGACCTGTTGAGCATGCGTATAAACTCAAAGTCGACGGTCCACCAGAACCAGACCACGCGCCCGCCGTCGTCGTATCCGGTGCCAAAGTGGTACCGGAATTCCTCGGGGTCGCCATCTTCGCAGTCACCGACGAGGGAGATTTCATCGTCCTCCACAATCCGGAAACCTGATCTCGGTTCCTCAAAGGCATAATTTATTGGCGCCAGATTGGTTGGCGCCAATATTAACCTGCCTTGAAGTCGTGGTGGCGACCGGCGTGGACTTTACCTCGGGAACAGACTTTTGGCGATACACGTCGGCACCGGCGAGCAGCGAAGCAATCACGCTGTCTGATTCTGCGGCAACCAGAGACGGAGGTATAGTATAATTTACGCGACTCATCCCCTTTTTTCCTACAAATCCGGAAATCTAAGGCCACTTGGTAAATAGAATATAAGTGCCCGTCACGTCAACACCGGCACTTTTTCTTTACCACGCACCGCCACAACCGCCGCCGGACCAGACAGACCACCCCAAAAACACAGAGATAGACAGAGACGCACACGCACAAAATGGAACGCCTTATGTGGGTCGACATCGAGACGGCAAGCATCAACCCTGGGTCGCACGTCATGGAGATAGCGATCACCTTGACCGACTTTTGGCTCAACGAGATTGCCTCTTATCGCAGCACGATATATGCGCCGCGGGAATCGCTCATGCAACAACTGTCCGACTGGTCGCGCGACCACCACCAACGGCCAAAATATGGCAATGACGACTGCAAAAAATCCTTGGTCGACCTGTGCGCGGATTCTGCCATCAGCAAACCCATCAACGCGGTGGAAGATGAAATCATCAACTTTTTGATGGAGAACATCAGCGACCGCCCCAAGAATGGATTGCCCCGGATATACATGGCCGGATCGTCCCTGCACTTGGACAAGAGTGTGATTGAGCGCCAATTCCCACGACTCAACTCGCTGGTGTCTCACCAACTTGTCGACGTGACGGTCCTCTTGATTTTAACATCGAGATGGTCCCCAAGTGTGTCGCTCGGGAAGCCACCCAACACATCTGACCACACTGCAGCCGGGGACGTGCGGTCCTCACTGGAATTGCTGCGGTACTATAAGCAGACCTTGTTTATGAACAACTTTGTGAGCAAAAAGTCCCCGCCGGCGTGCCATACTCGGAAAAAGTGCAATAAAAACACTTATGCTTGAATTCATGTGATTACAATGTGCCCAGGGGCAAAAATATGGTGACGATGGTGGATGCGGATTGTGTATATTGCCAGGAGTGCAACATGCGCAGTAAAATTGGTGTCAATGCAAAGCAACCAACGGGCGATACGCAGGAAAAAGAACCAGGGGTAATCAGGATAATACGAACCAGAGGCCATACACGCACATTCATGCACGTGTAGATTTTATTGTTCCCTTGAATGCATGAACACCCGACAACATGTGGTGGTTTTCGTGCAGCCACTCAGTCATCTCCCCAATGTTGGCAAATGCCTTTTCCACTTCAGAAGTCATGCGCGATTTGCCATTCTTTTTTGAAAATTCAATACACACGACAATGGGTCCTTTTCCGCTCTCCATGTCGACCTCTGCGGTGACGCTTTTGCTGTGGCAATAAACAGATTTCGCTGTGGTAATAAAATGAACTTTGACTGGCGCCAGTTTTTCAAAAAGGGAGACGCAAAGCCAAATCCGGCGCCACTGATAATCCTGGCGCTCGCTTTGTTGGCAGTATACATTTACCGTTCATTGGGATCCAAAATCAAAAACCTGCTGGAGGAATCTGCGCGCACCAACGATGACGGACAGGAAGAGAAAGAGGGCGTCACCCGTACAGACCACTCTCCCCCTTGCAAAAACGGACAAGTCAACCAAAAAGCGACGCGCCGAGAACCCGCTGGTGTGTGATTTTGATATCACACCCTATGTGGATTACTGGAGCGGATTCGTTGACGAAGATAAGGCATCCGAATACTATGGCAAGTTGAGAAATGAAATACCGTGGTCACAGGGTCGAGTCATTGTCGCGGGTAAATCATTCAACGAGAGGCGTCTCACGTGTGCGTGCGGCACCCGTCCCGGAGAGTATTTTTATTCCGGCAAGAGGATGACCGTGCACCCTATGACCGACACGCTGCAAGAAATCACGAACCTCGTCAATGCCAAGTGCGGCAGGACATTTGACGTGCTACTTCTCAATTTCTACAAGGACGGCAGTGACTACATATCCCTCCATTCGGACGATGAGACCAGCATAGACAGGACGGCCATTGCGAGTCTGTCGCTGGGGGCATCGAGAATCTTTCGGCTCAAGCAAAAGGGAGCCAAGGGCATCGACCGCGTGGACTTTTTGCTGGAATCGGGAGATTTATTGCTCATGAAGGACAAGTGTCAGGACGACCTCAAGCACACGGTGCCCAAGTCGTCCAAGGTCACAGAAGGCCGCATCAATTTGACCTTTCGCGTGTCAAGGGCATGAGGATGCCCGTCGCGAGATTGGACAGATCTGGCTCGCTGAATCCCATCTCTCTTAGAGCGTCATTTGACACCTTGACGGCGCCCTCTCCCCATCCTTGATTGTCGCGGCTAAAGGAATCGCCCACAATAAATATCTTTTTGCCCACTCCAAATGGACGCAGCGCCAACTTGGCCATGGACGGTATGTACGGAGAGGCCTTCCAGAACTGGGTGCCATAAGGCCAATCCTTCCATGCCACAAGGGACGGTCGGGGCGTGGTGAATCCAAAACACTCATCCAGCGACTTTGCAATCTTTTGGTAGAGTTCCCTTCCCACTCCGCGATTGCTGTAGGGCGCATAGCCACCGGAATATTCGCGCGTCAATTTCTTGCTCCACTTTTGCGCGCTCTGTTCATCACAGTAGATCAGGATGATGGCCGGATTGTTGGAGTAAAGCCATATCTGACGCGCGTCAGTGTCGGTGACACACCTGCCGCCGGTGTTGGTGCCCGGTCCCAAGAGGTTGGACCACCACGCGCCTTGTGGAAAGTACATGGCCAACTTGAATCCGTGCCAGTGATCGCATGACTTGAAAAGGGCGTCTGTGACCTTGGGGTCCCATTTGACGGCCAGATCCTTGAGGGCCGGTGGCGGAATGGCCAGTACAAGATTCGTGGGCGTCACCGTCCACTTGCGGTCATTCGTGAGATCCACCAAATCGCAGCGCATTGTGTCGGGATTAAATCCCACCAGAGCGGTAGTGTTGTGGAATTTGATCTTGTCCTTGATGCGATGGTGGAGCGCCTTTACAACACTCTGGTAACCGCCCACAACAAATTTCTGCACGGCGCCATGGCCGTTGAGACATCCGAAATCGCGGACGCCCACAAAAGAGGCGAGATTACTCCAGTGGAACAGGTCGTACCCTGTCATGCCAATGGCATACTCGCGCGCGTCATCGGATATTTTTCCACCGACATTGTCCCAAAAGGCATCGCCGCTGTAAAATGGATCCTCCAGTAGTCTGTGCGGCAAGTCTTGATCGATGGGATATTCTTTGGGTATGGCGTCACATACGGCCGCAGACAATACACCGAATATGTCCTTGTCGCGTTCTTCGGGACGCAGCGCGTATAGGTGCTTTCCCTCATCGACCATCTTGGCTATCGTCGTGCGTGTGTTACGCATGAGCGCCATATTTTTAGAGTCTGCATATGCGACCTCTACTGTCTGTATGTCCAGGTCTGACATGAGTTGAATCATGTGCACGTCCACATTCTCGAATACGCGCATGCCGCCCATTTCGATCATGGTGCCGTTGGGAAGAGCGGCTTTCTTTGGTGGCGCAAGTGACAAAAGACGTCCGCCAATGTCCTCCTCTGCTTCAACGAGTGTGATCTTTGCCGATGCATTGTGGTTCAATATTTTGTATGCTGTGTAAAATCCCGCTAGGCCACCACCGACGATAAGATAGTCCATGACAACCTTTTTTATTCAATAAGTCACATGTCCCTTGCTGCCCACCTTGATCCAAAAATTCTTGCGTAATTGATCTAGCGTAGTGGGCGAATCCACCATGGCCGAATCCACCAGGATCGAAAAGAGGTCGAACTTGTGTTTGCACTCTGCGCACACAGGGTCCATTGTGGGTCCCTTGCAGATGTGGCATGGCGGCATTGGCTTTGTGAGTAGATAGCAATTGCCGCACAACAGACCCAGGACTTGGTCGTTGATGGATGTGGAAATCATGAAGGTCTGCCCAGAGGATTCGTCCATCTCCCACAGCGCGTGACCAGCAGCAAAGTCGGCGCCGCAGTTACAGCACAGCGCGACAAGAGGGTGATACCGGATTCGGTCGGACACATGTCAGGCATAAAAATAGTGTGTTGCGAGTTGCGCGTGTCCGTCTGGAGGCGCATGTTCGTGTTTTTGGCTGGCTCGTTGTTGTTGTTGTTGAGAATGTGGTAGTGAATGGACATCGTGGTTACTTCTTTTGTGTCTCTGGATTGGTGGTGTTGAAAAAGAAGCAAGATGTGTCTGTGTATAAATGCGCGCGTCTTGTGCGGGGGATTGTTGGACAATGAAAATATGCGAGTTCCGGGGTGCCGGGCAATATAAAGATTCAATCTGACGCCAAATTCAGAGGTCCAAAGGAAAATGAGGTCTCGCATACTGGGAGAATCCCTCTCCACGCCTCATTATGGCGAGCGTGGCAATTTTCACGAGCAAGAAGGCGACCGTGCCGTCTCTGCGCCCGACGCGCTCACGGCTCTCATGATGACAGATGACCAATATCAGACGGCACCGGCAGCAGCAGCGCCCCAGCGCCAGGTGTATTCACAGAGGACAACGCGCGTCACGGTCATGCGCACGCCCGAACAGTGGTGGACGAGTATTGCCAACAGCACTGCTCTCTGGATCTTCGATGGCTATCGCAACATGCTGGACGTGTATGCAAATGCCCTCTTGGCCACGGACGTGCCTTTTGTAAATGCCAACAACGTGTGGCCTGTCGATGGCGACGCGGCGCTCTCGCGATCCACCGCCCGTGCGGATGTGGCATCCCTCTTGTCAGAGGTGATCACCGACGATCGCGGCGACATCACATCCATAGACAGGGATTGCAGTAATGCGGGACAGGAAGCGGCGGAATTGAAATACACGATGGATGATCTGCTCAAGGGCCTTGATCCGGGTTATTGGAATCAGGCCATCAAGACCACAGTGGCGGGTCTCATAATCAGTCGCTCGCGCCACGCGGAATCCCTTCGCGCAGTGGGCAAGCAGAGGGTAGACACTGATTGCGCCGTGCTTTTGGATCTTGCCCAGAATGCGTCCCTCGTTGCCACGGCGTCGAGTGATCAAATGGAGTCCATATGCAGGTCGGCTGCGCGTCTCTATCATGAGGTCAATGTTCACTGGGGTGGCGAAGAGAGACAAATTTCCGATCAGGACAAGGACTATATACACGCGGTGGCCAAAAGTCAACTCAGAAGAGTGGTCGTGGAGGACGTGGACGATGACGACGAAGTGTTGTCTTCGCGTGTTGTCACCACCGCCGGAGACGATGGGGCGGTGCAGATGGCCCTGCGATTGACAGAGCGCACGAATGACATGCTGGACTATGATGCACTGTGGAAGATGCTCGTCGGCAGGGATCGAAATGATCCTCTGAGAGCGGCCGTCGCGAGGGCACGAAAGAACGCCAAGGAAGTGTACCGCCAGCGCACCGAAGCCATGGTGGTGCTGGAAGAAGAACTCAAAAAAGACATTGAGAGAATCAAGAACAGCAGCGCCAAGTCATTCCGGCGTCTGTGGGACGAAGCCAGGGGCAAGTTGGACGCCGAAGAACGCCACACGACATCCAGCATGATGTCGCGATCGCCGCCTCCTGGGCGAGGAAAAGGGCGGCCAAGAAAAACTGGACAACATCCGCAGCGGCGCGGCGGCAGACGGCGACCACAGGGCGAGCGCGGCGGCGGAAGAGGCGGCCGCCCTGTGCGTGCAGTGGTCCCACAAGATTGACACCGTCGCCAACTGCGAGTTGTGGGCCTTTGCAGCCAAGGCGGCCATCGACTTGTGGAGGAAATTTTATAGTAGACGCATTTGAATAATTCCCTCTCATACTGACAAAAAGGATGTCGTCCACCGCCGCCACCGCAGCATCCCTCGCCGAGCAGATCACCAACGCCATCAGCAAGGCGTCCGAACCTGTGACGGCACCCGTGAAGCCGGCTCCTTTTGTTGCGTCTGCTCCCACTCCCGTGCCAGTCGTCTCCGCGGTCGTCGATGATATTCCCGCGCCCACTCAGAATTTTGCTGCCGCTCCTTCTGTTGCTGTCTCTACGGCGGGTGCGGCCACGACTGCCCAAGTGCCATCCCCGTCGCCTGCTCCCGTTCCCGCTGCTGCGCCTGCCCAAGTGCAACCAGCAGACACTGCTTCCGCAATCAACAACACGGCAGCAATGGTGCCTGTGGCGAGCACCAAGACTGCCAAGAAAAAGAAGATCAGTCCTGTGACCATTCTTGCGTGCGTGCTGATAGGCATCTTTGTGGTAGGCGTCTTCACAGCAATGATCTTCCGTATGAAGAAGAAGAAGCAAGTTATGAAGGCATCCGGACAGATGAACACAAAGAATACAGAGTCGTCGCCCCTCATCTACGGACCAGACCCCAAGACACTGAAGCAGCAACAAAAGTCTGCCGCACAGACGGCACCACACACCGGTCCCTCCAAGAAGCAGCTGGACCAACTTGCCCAAGAGGCACAGGAGCGTGCCAAGGCAATCAAGAAGCCGCAGGTGGTCGCAGAGGCGGACGAAGAGGGCGAGGGCGGCAATGGAAATGTCGCGCCCGTTGAAGGCGTCGAACAGAATGCGTGCTAAATAAATTTTTGCGCCTTCTATTTACCAACAAAGTAAATGGAGACACCGCCTCCTCACGCTGCGTCCCAGCCATCCCGTGGTCTGCCCGAGGGGTTGCTCAAATTAAATGACAGGCGCGTGGCCCTGCTGAAGCGGCTCAATGACATGCTGGAGTTGCGCGACATTGTCATCGCCCGTCTGGATGGAGTGAGATTCGACGTGCAGGACTTGGACAACGTGCAGGACGCCGTCAACCGTGTGAGGGACGATCTCGTCGTCGTGTGCACTGAATACGACAAGCGAGAATCCATCTACACGCAGGATTATCTCACAATGTGCGAAGGACTCGCGGACCGCAAGCATATCCTGGCTGAATTCGACCAACGCACGCAGGCCATTTCCAATGACCTCAAATTGGCCCGATTTATCGTCACCAAGCAGCGCACCATTGAAGCGCTCAGCGAGCAACTGAGAGAGCAGATCGAGTCGGATTTCAAGTACAAGGAATTCGCGCCTGGCATACCCACGCCGCCGGCTGCGGCCGCCCAGTACCACTACCAGCAGCACCAGCAACCCCTTGAACCTGCAAATTCGATGCCTGCTGCGTTCATGCCCGTGGGCACGTCAGCGCCAACGCCGATTCACGAGGTCCAAGAGTATGATCCCGCCATTGACATGGCGCAGCCATAGGAAGCGGCGATTTTCATATGAATAAAAAAATAATCTATCCGATCGACGAGGCCTTTAGGTGTGAGGGTCGTAGGAAAAGAGAGAGACACATTCGGCTCGCACCACGAAAAATATGTCTTCCAGTATGGCTTACATGCAGTCGCCCAGCGTTGACCACAAATTTGCCTTTGCTGGCTTTTCGTGGAAGATGGCCGCGGCCACCATCGCCGAGGCAATCATACTGGTGATCATCGCTGTCATCTACGTTGCCATCATGGGCGTCGTCACCATGTTCCTGTTAACGCGCTCGCATCCCAGCTGTGGCCCGGTCATTCCATCGGCTTCTGGCTCGGTGTATGTCTCTACCTGTTTGCTCGCATCCTGTTTTCGTAAACCAGCGATTGTCGCAGCAAGAAATAAACCGTCCTATGATGACGAGAGAAATTGCCCCCTCTTTTCTGTTGTCTGCGTCTCACAATCCCCCTCAAAAAAAAGAGAATCGCCATGAAGCGCAAGGCCGACGAGTCATCCGGTGGCGCCGACATTGCGGCGTGCTTTGGAGCAAAGCCGATCCCACCCAATTCAAAACTGGCATCCGTGGTCAAGTGCAATGTTCGCGCCATGTGGGACCTGCGCAATTCTTCCGCCGTCGAATACAATCCGGCACCCAATCCGGTGTCTCTCTCTTTAGAGTCTTTGGCCACCATCACACCCGACGAGTACGTGGTGGCAGAAAAGACCGATGGCACGCGTTATAGTCTTGTCCTGTGCACCGATCCACATGACAACGAAAAGCCGGTGGCCGTCCTGATGGACAGGGCCTGTAACAAGTGGACCGTGCCCATCAGGGCGCCACGATATCTCTTTGTCGAGTGTTCCCTTTTCGACGGTGAGATGGTGCGACGCGTCTCCCAACCCGACAAGTGGGACTATTACGTCTTTGACGCCGTCTATGTCGGAGGCAGGCCGCAGAGGAATGTGCCCTACAACGACCGCAAGGATCTCATTCATAGATTTTTTCCGCAACACGTGTCTTCACACCACCCCAATCTTACCAGCCAACGCGACCTGTTACGCAGGTCGACTCGCTGTGGACCATCATTCCCAGTCTTGATCATGCGTCCGACGGACTCGTGTTTACACCCCTCTCGGACCGCATATCCAACAACACCAATTGGAGACAATTCAAATGGAAGTCACGGCATACCATCGATCTCACTCTGCGCATGAAATCCGTAAAGGACGGCGTGCAAAAGGGCCTATATTACGTCGAGGCGCTCTATCCCGAAAAACCCGTGTACAAAAATGTATTTAGCGGTGTTCAGTACGATGGTCGTGTGGTCACATTCGGACTCAGGTCCACGCCCATTGTCAAGCAACTCGAACAAGAGGCCGTTGAAAAAGGAGAATCGTCAGCCATCGTGGAATGCAAGGGCAGATTCACATCGGACGATTACTCTAGAGACTCTGCTCAACATCGAAGAGAACATTACCATTGATGTGCTGGTTGACGTGCTGGTGAGAGGTGAACCTGCGCCAGCACCACGCCCAAGCAAGACCATCCAAAATGTCCTAGAGTCAACACAAGTCAAGGGATTTAGCACTGACGAGTTGTAGGGGCAACAATAATACCGTAATACCATTTATTCGTAAAGCATTTTTGCGTAATCGCACACAGTAGACGTATAGAATAGAGCAAAAGGGGTCTCAGGACACTTTGCCCCAAGTGCGGGGCACTGTCGTCCTGCGGACCCTGTTGTCATTAAAGTCAATTGCATTCACTGTCGCTGTCAGGTTCTCTGAGGGCAGAGCAATCCGGGCAATCACACTCGTCATCAGAGCGGTCAATGTCGGTGGTCGACATGCCGTGCGACTTCAACACATCTATCAAGAGGTCCCTTGCATAGTCCAAATCAATTACGGGTCGGCCGTGCTCGTCTTTAAAATGGCCCGATAGGAGCCGGTAGGCCTTGAGGACGCTTTTGATGTGATAGGGAGCAATGGTCGTCATTGTCGCGGCCCACCGTCGTTCTTCAATTGATAATTTTGTAATTTGCAAGTGCATCTGCGTTGTCAAGTGCATTCTCCATGCACTCGATTGTTTGATTCACATAACCCAGCACTTTGAGAGCGCGATTGCGCACGTTCTCCTGGTGTGCACGATCAAACAGGGGCACGAGTTCATCGATGGCCCCCTTCAAATCATCCAGTGTACGACGCGACGACACCGGACCGCGCAAGATTTGCTTGTAAAGATAGACGGGCAATTGATCGACAAAGAATTCGCTGGATGCAATGTCATCCGCCGTGCTGGACGCGAGCACAAGCGAGCGGGAGAGAGCATCCATGACATGTGCGGGGGACGTCGCCGTGAACGGGAAAAGGGTGTTAACGCCATGCTTGGCCAATTCCAACACGACGTGGTACCGATCCACGATTTCACCGCTGGTTCGGCTGATCCATCGGTCCATGCCGTGGTGGTCGTATATCGTGCCGTTGACTATGCCAATGAATGCTCCATCGATACCAGGATTGCTCTTTTCGAGTCCGTATTGATCATACAGACGCGCCATGATATTTTCGACAATGTAGGCGGTGCCTGACATTAGGCGCATACGAAGATCGGAATAGACAAGAGGATCTTCCTTTATCTGGTACAACCAGTGATGCGCCTGGTGCTTTACGTACGCGCCCAGGTCCTTGTCTACGCCGCTGTTGTGGTGTTCTCCCCATTTTTGCAGTTGCTCGCCCAATCGCGATGCCATCATCATGTTCGCCCCGGTGGCAGAACAGATGGCTTCCCCAAAAAAGTCAACCAGTTCTTGCCGTGCCATGTCCCGTTCGTCCTCGCTCTTTGCGTGGCCTCCAAAGACGGCGGCCAATTTGTCGGCTTTGTTCATGTCCATCATCTTTCCTTTATATTGACCACAGATGCCCATTGTTGGCTCTGTACATGTGCCGTTCCCTTGTCATTATTTGCACGTCCGTGCTTTGGCCCAAACCCGGTGCGTGCACCGGCCGACAGGATACTTTGTGATTGCGTGGCGCCATTTGTGCATCACGCAATCATGGCCACAAGCGATGTCCCTGCACACAGCAAAGAATTTACCCCCGAGACTGTCAAATATCTCGTCGAGGACATGGGTGTGCTCGAATTTATTAATATGATGCGCGCCGAACTCGGGGGCATTACACGCACTGGATTTTGGGTATTTCCGCACGCATGCAACACGCGGATTCTGGATCCCATCGAGTGGTATGACCACTGGTACAAGACTTTTACGGACCCTGATATGTCCCAGCGGCTGGTGTCGGCCATTGCCATACGTGATGGCGCGTGGATTGCGGATTTGAGCGAACGCGATGCCCGATACCTTTTGGAAGAATTGGACGTGTCTCCCGCAACACGATACGTGGCCGAGAATCACGACACGTACGGGGTGGCAATCCTCTGTGATCTTCTTTCGGCAAACCGCAGCCGCGTCATATTCCAGGTCTTGCGCAACATCAAGTGCTTTGGATACATTGACGGCTTGGACAATCAAAAAACCCTGCATTTCTTCGAGTATTTGGATTTATATTGCGATGACCTGATTGATGATTTCGGGCCGAGACACTGCTGGGATGGTGACCTAGTGGTTGCCCACAACAAAATTCTGTCTTTCCTTGCGACGCAATGAGATTTTTCATTATAAATCAGTGTCGTTGCGCTCACGCACACAAGCGTGCATCATGCAGTGGGTGCAGTGTTTTCGATATGATCCAAAATCTTGATCAGTGCGTTCTTGTACGGTCCCATATGCGCGCACGTAGGACTGGCAGTCACCATCTTTCTGAGTTGCTTGAGGTGCTTCTCCTCCATCGAAAAGACGCGCAAGACCTTAAAAGCGTGCTGTGCGACGACGTCTTTGATGTCCAGTTCGAGCGTCTCCTTCTCCTGTCCGCCAAAGTCGACAGTCACGCTGCACTTGACGGGCAACCCCGCAATGTTGGCGACAATGTCCTCGACCAGGAAGCCGATGGAGGCGTCGCCACGACGGTTGTTCACATTCCACATTTTTTCGGGCAGAAAGTTGATGCGCACGGCGTACTCTGCACCGCCCGCCTTGAGAATCCTCTCCAGGCACTCTCGGACGATGTTATCGGTGATAGTCCCCCACAGGTGGCGCCCGTTGGAGGTCGCGCCGTCGTCACTTTCAAAGTGCTTGTCGTAGAAATCCAACAGATTCCTCGTAGTGTCGCGGGTCACGATTGTCTCTAGTGCTTGCAACACGAGCCAGAGCGTGAGCGCCCTGCACGTCGTGCGTGACATGGAAATCTCCTTCTCGGGCACGCGCTTAAAGACGTTGGCAGCGCCGCAGCCATAGTAACTCTCCAGGCGAATCGACGCAGTGGCGACGGCAAAGGCGCGTTTGCAATCGCGGGTCTCGATCAACTCTGCCAGGTTGGTAGACTTGAGAATCTTGTCCAACTCCAGGACGTAAATCTTGTGGTAGTGGCCAACGGGATCAAAGGCCATGAGTTCATCGGTGGGATCCTCCATCTCCACAGTATCCTCGATGGTGGGACCCTCTCTCCATACAAAGCGCCCCGGAGTCGAGTAGAACCCGCTGTTGATGTAGTAGCGGCACATCATGTCTGTCGAGTAGGGCCCGCAGTCACATTCCACCTGGCAGTTGTCATCGTCCCACAAGAGCCACGTCGCGTTGGCCTTTTTACCAAAGAATGACGCAGACTTGAAGCGGTCCTTTGTCTCGGTGACATACGAGAGCATAAAGCATTTGGCATCCGACTTTTCCATTCGGTCGGTCACCGCAGTGAGGAGGTCGCAATGATACTGCTCAAAGAGAACCGAGTCCGGCTCGCAGTCGGTCATGCAGTCATGGGTAAAGAGAGTCAACATCGTCGTGTGGTGATGAGAGAATTGGTTGGCGGTGGTGCGAGACTTGAATAAATAGTGAAAATCTGAAGCCAGCTGGCCCTGTCCACACAACAAAATTCTGCCAACATGGCGCCAACTGCTTCTCCGGAAATCTGGCACCAATACGGCCTTGATATTTTCCGCGATGCAATACTTGCACCTTGCTTTTTTAATTACACACCCGCCCAACACACGCACACAAAAATGAAGCGCAAGCGAGAAGACGACGACGAGAAAGATGCCGTTGTGACAACGCAAAAGTCAAGTAAGCGACTCAAGGTGGAACCCAAAAGTGTGCGACCCGAAAAGATAGCAAAATTCCAAGACATCGGCCACTGCAACATCTGCTTCAAAGAGTCGCAGGGTCGCACGTTGGTGACTGGCAAGAATGGCAATGCATTCGTCAGACTGTGCGATGTGTCTAGGGTGGCACCATTTGCACTCACCGAAAAGGGCATCGTGATAACAGACATTCTTTACGCCGGCCCCTGCGGAAAGCACCTCATCTGCGGAGACTGCCTCATGCGCGAGGCGGCTATGCCAACATGGCAGGCAGATCGATGTATATCGTTGGACGGCACATGCGAACCGCGATATCCCAAGACATTGATCAGACGCGTGTACAAGATGGTTGGCATGAAGCCGCCATCTGCGCACCCACGTAAGGAAAAAAAGCAGCGGTGCCAGCAACCGGGCAAAAATGGACGTGGACACTGCAGTGGGAATATGGAACCCCTGACCGACCTCAAGCACAAGCAATGCACCAAGTGCCGCATCGTCACATGCGACCACTGCAACACACCAGTGAGACTCAAGAGAGCCACCAACTCGGCACAGCACGTCAGTGTGTTTGAGGATTGCCGGGTGTGCTATGTGTCGACCAAGGGTAGACGATATATGGTGCCAGAGGCATTCAATCCCTACTTTGTGCGACGGCCGCAAGATCCACCGGCATCCCCGCTTGATCCATCCGACCTGTGCCACATGCTCCGCAATCGAGAGTTGACGTTGGACATTGTGGTCGACCAGATGTGGCACATTATGAGTGCCGACCGGCTCTTTACGCCGTGCCCGTGCTGTCTGTGGCCCATGCAAAAGACTAGCCAGTGCAGCGAGATGACGCACTGTCGCATCAAGAGATGCTACGTGTGCGGCATCATGAGCAAAAAGGATGCGTCCTTTATAGGGACAGAGCACTGGGACAGGCACGGCAAAAATGGCTGTACACGATTTCTGTTTTTGGGCCAGCCGTGCAAGTCGTGGTTTACGCCTTTGTTGCAACCGCGCGAACACCCCACAACACACACCGCAGGCTCCGGCGAATTCCGCTGCGCTGTGTGTTCGCTCCGAAAGGCCGTTCGCGCTGTATGGCCGGCGCGCGGCGGTGCTGGACTTCAACGGCGACGGCAAGGCCGACCTGCTCCTCTCCGGCCCGCGCGACACCACCGCCGCACAACACACACTGACACCCACAACCACCCACGTACGTGTTCTTTCCCTTCAGTGTGTGTTGTCCTGTCGTGTGTCGTGCGTGTAGTGCGTGTGCGCTGATCAACTCCGACGCGTGGGAGACGTGCAGGCGGGCTCGGTCTCGTTGATTCTCGGCTGACGAGAACGGCAAACCAGGTGGTGAAATCGTGTAAATTTTGAAGAAAAGAAATCTCCATTGGCAATATCCCGGTGTGATATTTAGTCGACGATTTGAATAAATATCCATAAATAGGATCTAAATTGGCCCCATACTTTCCCATAACCAATGTCCCGTGCGGGCCTCCCAATTAATTACATCCCTTTCGGTTCGTCCAGCGACGGCTCCTCACCCTTTGCCAACTTGGCCGCACCGAGCACGCGGTTGACATCACGGCCCGTAGCGGTGCCGTCCTGGATGGCCCTGCACACGGCAGGCAGAACCTGCTGCTGCTGCTGCTGCTGCTGCTGCTGCTGCTGCTGCTGCTGCTGCTGCTGCTGCTGCTGCTGCTGCTGCTGCTGCTGCTGCTGCTGCTGCTGCTGCTGCTGCTGCTGCTGCTGCTGCTGCTGCTGCTGCTGCTGCTGCTGCTGCTGCTGCTGCTGCTGGGGACTGCGCACCGTGGGCGATCGACGCAGAGACCTCGACCCAAAGAGGGGCTGGCCGAACGCGTCGAGCTCCACGGCGGGTGAACCTCGAGGCGGCGAGGGGAGGTGCAAGGACGACGTCGGAGCCGGTGGCAGGAGCCACATATCCTGGCGGCCTCTTTGGGCTTCGAGGAGGGCCGCCCTCATAAAGCCCGGACTCGTTTGGCGCCGTTCACTCGGGCGCGAAAACAGACGGTCGTCCTGCGCGTCGTCATCGTCAGACTCGGAGCCTTGTTCGTCGATGTAGTCCTCTTCGTACTCGGCGCCATCGTCGTAAACGTCCTCTGCCCACTCCTGTCCGTCCTCCTCTTCGCTGTAGTCGTGGCCTTCGTCTTCGACAAAAGAGCTGGGGCTGGCACCGCGTTTGGTGCCCCTGGGGGAGGCGCCGGCAATGCCCGAGGTGGTAAAAGGCCCTTGGCCCATAAAGGCCGAGGACCCACTGTTGGCCATGGTGCCTTGGTTGCCTCTGGTGTAGCGCGTCGTGGCCGCGGGCGGTGCGGCCGTCGAGTAGCCGTCCCACATGCTCGTCGGCCCGGTTTGCTGGGGCTGCTGCGGTTGCGGCTGCTGCTGTTGCCGGGTGACAAACCCGTAGGTAAATACAGGCGCACCAGGCGGCGTTCCACCGCGCCGTGTCCGCTTCGCGTCGGGTTGGTCGCTCGGCACAAAGGCTCCTTGGCCAGCCGAGCCCTGGCCGTAGTAACCAAAAAGAAACGGCGTTGGCGCTTTTCACCCTGATTCATATAGGACGAGGTGGGTGGGAACCGGCGTTCTGTCCAAGTAGAAGTCGGCGCATAGACGGCCTGCGAATACGACCCGTCATAGGGCAAAGGGAAGATGGGACCGCTCAAGGTGCCGGGAGAAGGGTTTCTGCCGAGGCTGCCAAACTGCCACGGATCTTGTCCAGCGGATTGCATGGCGCGGTTCTTGGCGATGACAGAGAGACGGTTTCCGAGTTGGTGTGGCAGGTGGACAAACGATCGAGGGCAATACACCGCAGATGCCACAAACTCGCAGTGGGCAATGGCAGAGCCAAGCAACAAAGGATGCTGAGCCGAGCCGAGCCGATCCGGGAGAGAGAGAGAGAGTCAAAAGGACTTGGCGGCGACCAAGGGACACAGGCAGACTGTGAAAGGGGGGCGCGCGATCGCCGAGGCGCTGGAAACGCCGACGGGTCCTAACTTGACTTGTGTGGCGTGTGCCTCAAATTTTTGTTTTAAGTCGCGCTGACGAAAGCCGTCGCCCCACGATGCAAGGCAAACAAAAGCACCAAACAGAAACAGAGGGTTTCCGCAATGACTGTTTGCCACAAACGTCACACACACACACACTCATATGCATATTTGCGGTTGGCGCTGGGACGGCGCAGGCAGTTCTCGGCGCGGGTGATACTATTGTGGCAAGCGCTGTCGTCGTTGTTGTTGTTGCTGCTGCTGCTGCTGCGCCGCTGCTGTTGTTATTGTCGCTGCGGATGCTGCCGGCGTTGACCATCGCCCTCACCATTGCCATGGCGAATTGGGTTCGCGCAGGATGCGCGAAAGATACTCGGGGTCGTCAGCGCGTTGCAGGTTATTGCGCCAGCTTTTGGTTGCGGCAGCGCCAAACGCAAAAGGCCCATCAAACGCCGCCTGGCCGCCATCGTCGTCGTCCTCATAGCCTAGCGCCTTCAATTCAATTGTTTCGGCGTCGTTCAGATCCGTAGCGGGAACGTTGCTTGTGTAGAAGTCTTGGCTACCTTGATCATCGGTTTCGTCCTCGTTCGCCTTCCCAAAGCCGCCCGATGGAAACCCCATATTGCTTGCGTAGGTCGGGGGCGAGCTACCCCACAAAGGCGATCCGCTACGCCGCACACGCTTGGCCGATTGTTCTGGCGAAACGGACAAGTCTCTGGCGTCGTCAGGCGCGGCAACGAGTATGCTGGGCGAGGCCATGACAAAACTGAGGTCGGTGCGGCTGGCGTAATCATCGCCGTATGGGCCATAGCGTCGGTCGCTATCGTCTGACTGGTCGGCATCGAGGCCGAGCGCCAAACCGGCCAGTTCTTCTGGCGGCAGCTGCATGATGTCCTCTTGATTCATGCCGACCAGTCTGGCGACGGGCTGGCGCCGTGATGTTTCATCGCCATTGCTGTCGTCATTGTCGGCGGCGGGGTTGGGCATGGCCATGAAAAACACCGATTCACTGTCGGCGTTGTCTTCCGTCTCAATGTCATCATGCTGTCCACCAGCGAGCCATTGTGCGTCGTACATGTATTGAGGGCCTGTTTGCCTTGGTCCGCTTTGCGCTCCAGAGCGTCGGACGCGTTTCTTCTCGGTGCCAAGGGGTGCGCCGACGGCAAGACCGGTATTATAGGCATCCAGTCCTTCCTCGTCGTTTTGCGCGCTGCTGCGAGGGCCGCTCGCGCCGCTGGCGACGACGTTGTCACCGCCAAAAAGCGCATACGGCGGCATACTGTTGCCGGTGTGGGTTATAAGCCACGCCAGTTGTTTGTCGTTGACAGGGTCCCCATCTCCAGCTCGTGGCGTAAACTCGCGTTGCGTGTCGATCGGCGTCGGCCAAATAGGCACAGGCTGTAGCGTCGCTCTTCTGTATCGCTCTGCTGCTTCAGCTGCGCCTTGGTCTTTCAGCGTGTAGGCATCGGCAATGTCGAGTGGGACGTGGGCTGGCGATGCCACAAGGTAGGCGCCGCCGAGCGCGGCAAAAGGCTCGCGACGTGAATCTTGCCCAAGTTGGCCTTGTGTTTGCTCGGCATAGGATGGGTTTTGGGCAGGGTCGACCGGGAAACCAATGTCGGCGCTGGCACCATAAAACGGATTATTGGCAAACCATTCGTCGAGATCGGCTGCATCCAAATTGCCAAAGCTGCTGGTGTCATTGCCTTGCAAAACAAAATCGCCTGGGGCGGCGCTCGGCACCTGCGGGCTGGATGGCCGCGCCGGTACGATGGTCGGCCCCGTCGCAAACTTCTCTGGCGCCATATCAAAGCCACCAGCGACCAGCGGGTTGTAGGCTTGCGATGCCACGAGGGAAGCGGCGTCGGGGATGCTAGCATCTTGGCCAGCAGCCGGCCCCTTCTTTTTATACCGCCTCACTGTGACTTGGCGGTTGGCCGGCCGAGCTGCTCCAGGTGTCGAGAACGCGGCAACTCGTCCGGCCTCTAGGTCGCCGCGTCGTGCGTCCTCTGCGAACAGTATTGCCCCTGCGAGTCGCGCTCGCTCCTTCCCGAGTATCCATACTCAAGCTTCCTTTGTTCGGCTTGGCTTGGTTTTGCAGGGTGCTACGCGTACAACAGGCGCGCAGTCAGAGTGCCTTGACGATCGAGCAGCAGACAGACAGAGTGCGCGAGTGCTGCTTGCCGGTGCGGTCGCAGTGGCACGATCAGCACAACTCTGACACAAGCAGACCAAAGCGAACCAACAGTCGGGCGGGTGAATAGGCAGACAGGCAGGCGAGCAGGTAGGCTGGCTTGGCTTGTCCGTTGTTCTTTTATGCCGTTGCGCCTTTGGTTTGTCTTGATGAGACCATGGAGGCAACCTCAACAAACGCAACCTGGCATAACGTCATGCGGCGGCTCCCGCCTTGATCGCCACGGGCGCTTGCAGCTCATATGCCGACGCTCCATGCGACTTGCACCCGCCAACCGTGGCCAACTTGTCACCTTTTTGCCCTTGTCATCATTATGGCTGCCCCTTGTCATCATTGCGGCTTAACTTGCCGCCAAACACCAAGTGTAAGATGCTGCTGCTGATGGGCGTATCTGTCGGATGCAAAGCACGCCAAGTGTCCATGTTTCTCTCTCTCTCTGTGTGTGCGTAGCGTTTTCGCTCCTTGTCGCGGCGCGCTAGCACGCCACGTTGCTGGCTTGATGGACCGAGGGTTTGTCACTTGGCCATGAGCCACGGCACTGCGGCAAACGCACAGTGTTAGGGCAAACGTGGGCACCAAACGGCGGCCACACAAAGGCGGAACAAATTTTGTCCAAGTACCTCGCCCGACTGCGCAAATCGCAAACACGAAATACGAGTTGGCCCACTCTGGCCATTGCGGTTTGCGGGACCCCGTCAACAATCGAATACTATGGTGAACATGCCACTCGCAGCCGATTGCCAACGCCAGGCCAGGGTACGGGGCATTGCCACCGCCCCACTGTTTTTTGGTCGCGCTATGGGAGAGCAAGGAGCCACCACCGCACCCGCGTCTCCCCCCATCAGCACCAAGCCCCTCTAGTCTTAGGGCGACAGCGTAGCTGCCCAGTTGCCACCGCCAGCCCACCTCAGCGCTGCACTGTTAGCGCAACCTCTTTTTGTGTGTTTTCTTTTTGATTCTCCATCTCTTTCGCTCTCTCCGTGCTCAACCGCGACGCACGACCAAAACATGCAGTCTCAACTCGCACTCCAGCAGCCCCAGCCGCAGGCCATACAGGACGTGGCAGTTCGCGCCCAGCGCGGTATCGCCGGCTGGCTAAACTCCCTCGGCGTCAGGACTGCTCAGCCGGCAGAGTCGGCTACCGCCATGATGGCTGCCCCCGTGGACCAGCTCGCCGCGTGGCGCATGCGGCCGGGCGCCGTGCAAAACATGATGGCGAACATGGCCCAACCTGTTGGAACCATGTTCATGGCACCGCCGCAGCCACTGCCGCAGCCAGCCCAAGGCAGTAACGTGACTGCACAAGGTGGCCGCGGCCGAGCGGCAGTGCGCCTTGACAACAACAACAACAGCAGCAGCCGCAACAACGGCACTAATGATGCCACCGGCAACGGCAACAGACGCGGCAGCAACAATAGCGCCAGGGCCGCAATGGCGCCAATGACAAACCAGACACAGACTGCTCCTCCCACGTCGCTCTCGGCGCCGATGCCGGTCTCACAGCAGGCGCCGCACAACACGCACGCCAGCGCACTTCGCGACTGGCATGCGTCCAAGACCAACGAGGGACTGTGGATCGGCACGTATGGCCATCGTGATTTGGCTGCCTCCATGGATGCCGGGTGTGGGGCCGCTGCGGCTTGGCGCGCCATGGACCCGCGACTGGGCGCACGCCAGAACGGTCTGGGCGCGAACAATATGGCAGATGGCGCCGCTTGGCCATCGCCATCTGGACCGCAATACATGTGGCCGCAGCAGCCGCAGCCGCAACCGCAGCAGTCGCAGCCGATGAACTTGGCCATGCCCATGATGATGCCGATGCCGTTGCCCCAACAGCAACAGCAGCAGCAGCAACAGCAGCAAACGGAGCAGCAGGTGATGATCATGCCAACTTTGGACGAGGGCACCTTCCTCATGTGCCGGCCGTTTGCGTTTGATCCGAGTGGGCAACCCCCTCAAATTTTGCCTGCTGGGCCTGAGATGCCGCCGCCTCTGGCGCCGTCTCCTTCTCCTCCCGTCGGCACCGTCCCTGCCATGCCAGACGATGGCAACACGCGCGTTGTCATCCAGCCCTACCCCTATTTGCCGTCTTTGTTCTATGGCCAGCCCTCGGCTCCGGCATCCTCCAGCATGCAGGGGATGTGGGCCTCGCCCGATGGCCCGTGGATCATACAGTGAGCAATGCCAGCGGCAGCGCAGGTTTTGATGGAGGCGCATGGTATGCCTCGTACGACATCCCCGAGTTCACACGCCTGACACGTAAGCACGGCATAACTGGGAGGTTCAGCGTCAACCACATGGGCTCGCGCTTCTTTTGTCTGGCCCACCGCAAGTCGGTGAAGGGGTTGGAACTGGGCGCCACGACGCGCACCGCCGTAGAGGTCGGCCAAGGCCCCATCTCCTACATGACCAAGGACGCTTGCACGTGGAGTCTCAATTACGGAGAAAGCGAGCGACACTTTGCCGAGCTTTCCATCCGTGAAAATTGCGGCGGCAACAGCGAATGCGTGCTCGACTTTTTGCAACTTGTTGACGCCATCGAGCGCGACGCGGAGAGGATGCCTCTGCGTCCGCTGTTGCGAGGCGACTTTGCCGATGCGGTCACCACAAAGTGCCAGGTGATCTTGACCCGCGATCTGCGTCGAGACATAGAACATGCCAAGCTGTGCATCAATCTAGAGAAAATCGTCGATGGCCGCCAAGGAGACGACCTTCTCAAGGGTGCCGCCTACGAGCACTGCGGATATCACCACCAGCGGCCAGAAGGCAGACTTTGGAGGATCAAAAACGCGCTGGCTGACGATCCCGGCGTCAACACGGAACAGCTCCGCTGCATATCCACGATGGTTGAAAAAAGCCATTGATGAGACACCATTCGTTTTCCAATTAAAGCGCGCTGTGCTCTTCCTAAACACCAATATCTGGATGCTGTGTTACGGATACTTTGGCCCCAGCGTTTGGGCGTAAAGTGGGGCAGCGCAGGTCTGCGCGATTGTCGGTGGCAGGCTTGGCATCTCGTTGGTGGGGAGCCACATTGGCCACAAGGTGCTTTTAACGCGTGGACATGCCAAGGCCAAGCAAAAGCCGGTCTTTTGTGCGGCCCAATGCAATGCCGAAAAATAGCGCTAACCCACACGGGCAAATAAAGGACTATGGCAATTGCGACACACAAAGGATTTATTCTCTGATGTCCGACTTGCGCCATGACGATGACAGAACATGATCATGCCGCAAACACGAAAAAAAAGACAGACTGTGCGAGTGGTGGTATAATCGGGGCCAGCCGACGGCGTGGCCCGGTTGTTGTCGCAGCAACCAACAGGAGCGCGCTAGTGTGCCTGGGCGACGATCGCGTCCGAGCGGAAGGTGAGCGCCTTAAAGTAGATCATGGCGTTGGCCTCTGAGGCGGGCCGCCCAGGCGGCGGCAGCGAGACGTGGACAGACAACACCAGATGCGCGGGCGGGAGATGGGCCTGGTCGGCATAAGCAGCAGCACCACTGACAGCGCCTTCAAACAAAACGGCCACGCGGTCGGCCAGCTTGTCGAGCGACACAAACTTGGCCGCCCCTTGATTGGCACCGCCGCAAGCAGGCCCGACCGCCTTTTCGATCTGGAGGTTGTTGGTCCACATGTGGCCGCTCTGGTCGCTCACCCACACGCGAGGCACCGAGGCGAGCCTCTCGTGGCCGGCCAGCTTGGTGACAAACTCGCGCGCGTTGGGCGACAGCCAGGTGTAGAGCTCGGCGAGCTGCTCGGGTGTCTGCTGCGCCGGCATCGAGCAGTTTTCAAGCGCGACATTGATTGCCTGGCGCTCAGGCAAGTCAAGGTGGCCGCGCGACTGGTGCTTGTTGTTGTGCGCCTCGACGGCGGCAACGTCGTGCAGCGCTGCTGGGTCAATGGGTAGCTCGCTGGGAGAGTCAGGGCCATGGTCGGATTGCGCAGTGGCGCCGGCACTGGCGGCAGCCAGCTCAATGCTTGGCACCACAAGTGGCTCGCCCGAGCCCGAGCCAAACACACCTCCCAAAACGTAGCTAAAGAAGGACGTCATGGATGAGTTTTGCTATTGGTGGCCGTGTGGCAGTGTCTTCTTTAGTAGTGTGGCAAGCACGCGGCGAGGCTGGTGGTGAGACAAAAGGGGAGAGCTCACCTCTCTTTTTTAAAGGCTTGTCTCCATTCCCCGGTCTCGGCGCACACCGGGCAAGCTGCGGCAAATGTGGCGCAAAGCGGGGATAATATAAAATAATAAATTTTTTTAATAAAATTTGCTACTGCCCGAGAGCGGACATTGGTAGCTTCACTCTCTCTCGCGTTTTTGTCGTGCCACACACTTCCAGCATTGTTGTTGTGCTTGCTTCCACACAGAGGAGGATAACGCCCCCCTCTCCCCCCCTTCTGTTGTTGTTGCTGCTGGCTGCTCGGTGCTGCCCATGCCAAATGAAGAGCCAGCCGTTCCGAAGAGGGAACCTCAAGTATTTTTTTATTCTTCTCACGGTCCAGGTGAAACTGGCCGGTGGTCGTGACCGCAAGAGAGAGAGAGAGAAAGAGAGGCGGGAGGAGAGAGTGACCGCCAACACTAGGACATCCTGGCTCCCAAAGGGAAACCAACTCAACAACATTAAACGTACGCGGCCGGAGGGGGAGCAGATCCGGAAGGAGAACGAGTGGCGCATGGACCTCTAGTGCGCAGCAGGCGCCTGCATGAGACTTTTCGCCTTGCCGCGTGTCGCCCGGGGATGGGAGCTGGGTGGCTCTAGGAGAGTAGGCACCCACCAACGGGCGGCTCAGCTGCCTGTTGGTCGGCGGCGACATCGGTGTTGTCCTCGCTAGCGGCCGCGGCCTCGGCACCGCCGGCCTCCTTGTGCTCGGCGTGGTCTTCGCCAAAAGCAACGGGATCACGCCCGGGCAGCTCCACACCGCCTAGGGTCTCTCGGCTTGGCGAGGAGACATGTTCTGACGAGGAGCGTGCTGCGTGCTCAGCAAGCGCAAGCAAAATCGGTTCGACCAAGGCCGCACGCCTCTTGTGATTCTGGCCAAACCACACTGTCTGGCCCATTTGCTCTTGGACTCCGGCGTTTTTGCGCTCAATCACGGCTGCCAGGATGCGTGCGGCCTGCATGTGCCGAGTGACGATTGTCGGATCGTGCACAGCCTCTTGGTCCACGTAGGCCAAAACGTCGGCGACGTTGGGTAGGTACAGATCGCGGGTTGGTGTCATCACGTAGTTGACCACCTTGTCGTCGTCGTTGTCTCCTTCCATGCGCGCGGTATAATCAACAACAAAAACGGAACCGTCAAAGATCGCCGTGTCGCGCTCGGCCATGGCAAAGCCCATAATCCGCTCCGCCGCAGCTGCTGCATCGGGCGGCGACAAAGAAGACGACCAAATCGGCACGCTGGTTTCGGAGCTGTGGTAATAGCGCGCTTGGATCGTAATGGCCCTCTCTTTGGCCGTGTCCGCGGTGGCAGCCTTCCAATAATGGCGCATCACTCTGCTGTCGTGATTGCGCTCGGCATCCTGATAGAGCGCCATGGAGTCGGCCATCATCGGGGCTTGTGCCCACGAATCCACATAAGCCGCCCATCCGTCGGGGTGGTTGATGTCATGCGTATGTTGAGCGTCGGCGCCCCTTGCGCTGCTGCGCTGTTGCGTCCGATTGTCGCCGGCGCACAGCGAGCTCACCGAGCTAGCCACTTGAAAACATTGTGCGCCGACAGCAGCCGAGTCGAGGCTCTTGCCGTCGAGCGCGAGCAAGAGCGGCCACGCAAAGGCGACCAGATAAAGCGGGCCGTAGGCATGATACTGAAAGTAGTCGGTATCATATCCGGACCCGGAGGCGAGCCGCTGGCCGTACGCCGTCACGGCCCTCATTTGCGCAATGGCCTGCGCGGGGTTCAGCGCGCGCTCGCTGCCGTCTAGGCAAGTCCTGCACGTCGTTGCCGCCACCTGCTCGCGCGCAAAATATTGCGTGGCCCGCTTCATGAGGGCCGACACGCGCCGGCGCAGCGCCGGATCGCTGACGGCCGCGGCGACATGGCGGAGGCAGAACGCGCCAGAGGGCGTGTGGAACCAGTTGATCTGCTGGACCTGGGTCTTGTCGTCCCACACGCTGGGCTCCACGGCCAGCGTCAGGCTGTCGCTTTGGGTGCCCGCGGCATGGAGCACCATGGAGGAGTATTCGGCATAAAAGGCCGGCGATTCCATTGCCGCGCAAAGTCGCTCGCTGATTTTTCCGCTGCGCACTGCATCCACATCGCGCTGCCGCCAGCCACCGCCAAACACCGACGAGTAGGCGGCGCCGTGCGACTTGGAGTCGTGTCCCGCGATCGCTTTCAGCCACAGGCCCACCTTGTCGGCAAAGGCGCCAAGCGAGCGCGTGCAATCATCTAGATAAATCTCATCGGCGCTATCGGCGACCGTTGGGGCCACCGACACCTCTGCGCCAGCCGGTCCTTCCAAAGTCGTGCTGACAGCCGCTGCGGTTGTCGTCAGCCCTTGGGCTGCGACTGCGTTGGGGATTGCCGTCGACGACGACGACGACGACGATGACGAGGACATGGCCGACAAGAATGCCCTTCGCAAGGTGATAATTGTTGCGGGTCGTTGAGAGCCGGCCGAGGGTTGCGAGCTTGTCAAAGAAGAGCTTGTCGAGCGGCCACGAATGCAGCGCACTTTGCCGCTCGTTGGTCTATCTCTGCAGCATAGGCCAAGAGGCGAGAGTAAAATGTATGCTTGCCATGCTCGAGGCGCATGCGCAACCCAAACAGCGCGTGGCGGCCTGTTTGCAAACGATCGAACCGCGCTGTTTTGCTGCATTGGAGCGCAAATGCCAAAAGATATGCGCGTGTAACAGACCCATCGCGCCACAGCACAGGGAAACACTGGCCAAGGGAGAAAAAAAAGATGGTGCAGCAAGCCAGCGGACAGGGACAAAATGAGGAGGGGCAAAGAAGCTTGTGGGGCGGTCCTCTCTCGCTGCGATTTGTGTTTATTCTTTCGCGTCAAAGCCAACAGGCGCGGCCGATAGAGCAGAGGCAGGGCGCGAGAAGCAAAAGTCGACGGTGTCGGCTGTCGCGAAGCGCCCAAGCACCGCGCAGCGCCCTACTCGACAAAGAGCTGGCCAAAGTCTGGCTCGTCCTCCTTCTCCAGCGTGGCGGCGTAAGAGTCGGCCGCGGGCTGGAGTAGCGCGATGGCGCCTTCGATGGTTGCCGGGAGCGGGCCGCCGCCGCCGGCAAAGAGGTCGGGGCACTTTTTATTGCCAAAGTGGGCGCGGGCCTTGGCGCGGTGGACCTTGACGCACAGGCCGAGGCCGTCGAGGCCATCACGCGGGTTGAGCCAGTAGCCGCAGCCGGGGCTGCACTTGGCGCGCTGGAGCACGTTGCGCAGCGACCAGGCGAGGTAGCCCTCCAGGCGCTCCTTGTGTTCCAGGCCGCAGTTCCAGTTGGGGAATACACGCACCTGGGTCCACTGCGACACGTTGACGCCAAACACGTCCTGGTGGCGCTTCTCGCCGCACGAGTCCACCACGAGGACGTGGAGCTGGCCGGGGTCTTGGCGCTGGCCCTGCGCCAGCCAGCTCTCGATGTCGGCCTTGACCCGCTGTGCGGCTCGGGGAAGGACATGCCGGTGCTGCAGTAGCCGTCGATGCCCACCACCAGGCACCGCCCGCTCTTTTCCTCCTCGACAAAGCGCTTGAGCTTGGTGGCGTAGGTCGTCTTGCCGGCACCCACCGTGCCGCACATCTGCACCAGGCGCTTGCCAGCGACGGGAGCCTGCGTCGCCGCGGCGTTGGCGTTGACGGTCAAACTTGAGCCTGCCGTCGTCGTCGTCGTCGCCGATGAAGGCGAGGGCATTGGGATTCCGGCTGCGTCTCGCGCTCGTTAATAGCGCGCGAGGCGGTGTCGGGCGCCGCCTGATGGTGAAACACGCGCGCCAGGCCGGTTGCAAACACCGAGCCGGGCGGAGGCGAGCCGGCCTTGGGGCCGACGGGCCTAAAGTCGTCGGCGCTCAGCATGGTGTAGCACACGGGGCAGAGGCATGCCTCGCCCGAGGCCAGAAGCGCAGCGTGGCCCTCGACCGTGAGCACCTGCGCAGGGCGGCACGTCCTGTGGGCGGTGGCCCTCGGGCGGTCGTGCTCGTTAAAGGCAAAGCCGCCGGTGAGCGACGTGTCGTTGAGGGTGATGAGACACGTGTAGTCGAGGCCGTCGTCGGCGGGCACCACGTGCTGGACAAACGACTTGTCAAACGCGGCCGTGACCTGCTCGTGTTCGAGGAGCCGGGCCGCGGCGGCGGGGCTCGCAGCGGCGGCCTCGCCAAAGTCGTCGCGGATGTCGTCGCGGCACTGGGCAAACTGGTTGATGGCCGTGGTCTCGTCGCCGAGGCACAAGCACACCAGGTACCAGAGGGTGAGCGGACGGAACCGGTGCAGGCCCAGGCACTGCCCCATGGCCGCCATCTCCTTGAACAGCTCGTCGTGGCGGCCCTTTTGGTCGACCATGAGCGAGCCGTTGCGAATGGCGGCCAGCTCGCTCGAGTCCGAGTGAACGCGCTTCTTGCGCAGGACGAGGCTACCCATCTGGCGGTAGGTGTCCTTGACGCGCTCCTCGAGGCCGGCCGACAGCCCGGCCTGGAGCATGAGTCCGAGCGCGCGGTACACCACCTGGTTGCCGGTCGGGTGCAGGTGGTAGAGAGCGGCGATGAGCTGGCGCACCCACTGCCGCGCGCACTGCTCGCCCATGCTCACGCTCGCATTGTCGATGGGCGGCGCCACGTAGCCCAGCGGCAGGAGCATGGGCACCAGCTGGCCGTCGAGCTGGTAGGCGGCCTGGCGGAAGGGGCTGTGCTTGTCCTTGCCGCCGAGGGGGTACACGGGCCGGTCGCACAGCTGCGCGCTCGGCCCGAGCACGACGGTGCCGTGGATGGGCGGGCTCACAAAGGCCGCCTCCGTCGGGACGCCCAGCGCCGAGCGCACGTCCTGGTGGAGCAGCTGGTCGGCCTGCTTGTAGAGGTCCTTGAGGCGCGCGCGGTACTCGGCAAAGAGGCCGGCCCGGCCGCTGAACTCGTCCTTGAGCGCCGAGTCGAGCATGAACTTGACGATGACCTCGTCGACGGCGGTGTCGGCAAACATGCGGCTGTACTCCTCGACCGTGTGGTTGCACTGCGTGGCCGACTTGCCCTCGCACAGCGCGCCGAGCGAGACCGAGAGGTCCTGGAGCAGGCGCATGAGGTCGTTGATGTCGGCCTTGCTGGCGCGGATGAGGTGCCACACGTGGCGGGCAAACTTGCCGGCGTGGAGCGGCGAAAAGTAGCTGTCGCGAAAGGGCACCTGGCCTGGTGGCGCGCGGGTGCGGTTGATGTGCACGTGGCCCGTGGTCCGGTCGGTCTCGGGCGTGTGGGAGACGAAGCGCGCCACGTGGCGCGTGAGGTTGTGCTCGTTGAGCGTCTGGTAGACGTCGCAGCCGGCCGCGTTGGTGAGGCTCTCGGCGCGGCTAAAGTCGCGCCGCTTGTTCTCGACGGCGACGATGTTGAGCTGCACGTCGGGGCGTTTGTCGACCATGCGCTTGAGCTCGTGGCGCAGCTTGTTCTTGAGACCGCGCAGCTCCATGACGGTGATGTCCTCCCAGCCGATCTCGCCGTCGGTGAACAGGTAGACGACGTTGGAGAAGCCCTCGTCGAGCCAGTCGTCGACGTGGGCAAAGGCAATGTGGGGCATGGTGACACAATTGCACCCGATCTTGGTCGTGATGACGCCGAACCACTGGTCGAGCTTGGCGTGGCTGTCCACCATGTAGGGGATCTTCAAGTAGCCGCCGGGGAAGGCGCGGTTGGTCTCGTTGTCCGAGTTCCAAAACAGCACGCGCCAGCGCTCGTGGGGCAGGGTCTTGGCGATCTCGACAAAGCGCTGGAAGATGCTGCCGCCGCCGACGCCCGAGAAGTCGCCCGTCACCGAGCCCGACGCGTCGACGAGCAGAATGGCTGTCGGCGACATGTTGGGCTGAATCAGGAATGAGGTGTCGCCGCCATCATCGGCCGCTGTTACAGTAGCGCCTACAGCTCCGGCTACTGCCGTCGCCGTCACTGTTCCTGTCGCTGCGGCTGCTCCGACTGTGTCTGCCTGCTGCATGATTCCGAGTAGCAACTTGGTTCTGGTTGTTTGTAGATCAAGTCAAGGTGTGAGCCAAAGGCAGCTCGGCCGCTTGGTGGTTGGAGCCTCCCAATAAAGACAACCCATGCTTTTATGGGCGGTCTCAACCATCGTCCACCATCGTCCGAAAACCTCCGAGTTGGGTTCTCTTGCCGGCTGGCCGAATAAGCGATCAGCATTGGGCGAGTGGTCCCGCAATCCGATTCAGCGACACAGGAAGCCAGTCGAGTTTCCCACAATGACAACTGCAAATTGGGTGGTAGCGGTTCTTTTTCGGCTGCAAGTCTGCGCGACATGGCTCTGATTATTGCCGTGCGGCCGCATGTGCTTTCCGGTTCTTCACGTTTGCTGCCTCGCTTGTGCGTCCGCAGGGTCGACCCAACATCCGATATCCGAGCACGGCGACAAAGGTTGCCAACCTGTCATGGCGTGCAGACGACCCCATTGCGTGAGGCCTTGGTAACTTGCGATGCAAACCGTCGCTCGCAAACGGCGGTTTGGTGAGTTGGCCACTTGTCGATGATGCGAGATAATGGCGGCCCATGAGAACAGCCCACATAGTGGAACCGCGATGGACGACCCATATGTAAAGCAAACTAGCGAGGCAGACAGATAAACACATGGCCGGTTTTGGATCGGCATACTGCTTCATTCTCTCTCTCTCTCTCTCTTTTCTTTAGGCTCTTTGCGCGTGCCAGCCGTTTGTACTGTCGTGGCGTTTGCAAATGCGCTGCAGGCCGTACCTTCCTTGTAGCATATCTTTTGTTTGAGCTCGCCGACAAGCATCGACGTGCCGCACTCGATCGTAATCGTCTTGCCTGTCAAACAAGAAATAATACATGGCACGCCAAATGGGCGTGTCAGGTAAGCACGCCGGACGGAGGTGCCGATTTAGCACGGCCAAATGGCCGTGCCAGGCGAGCACGCTAAACGCAATTGCGAGAAGGAAACACACCCGTAAGGCCCTTGACAAAGAGCTGGAATGAGCGAGGTAGCGACACGAGGCGGCACCAGGTGCCTTCGACAACGCTATAGTCGCGCCAAGTGTTGTTGTCATCGAGAGTGACGCCATTGAGCTGCCAGCGGCGATAGGCAGTGCGACGATTTCTGGCGAGCCAACAGCGGACCAAGTCGGGTATCATAAGTGCTCCAATTACAACTTGACAATAGCAGCAGCAACAACAGCAGCAGCAGGAACAACAATCCAAAAAAAAAGTATAACAAAGCAGGTGCAGCAGTACGTCGAAACCTTGGCGTCGAGTTGGACGCGCAGCAGATAGGTGCGCCGAGGACCTATCTGCACCGCAATGGTAACTCTTGATCCGCTTTCCTCTTCTTTGGTGTTGTGCTTGCCCGAGCTTCGCTTAAGGGCCAGGCCAACGGGACAATCGGTGGTGATACCCTGATCGCCCAGAGTGGCTGAAGGCTGTACGGGCAGTGGGCAGAGCGGTTTGCACGCAAGGCGACCACAACAGGTAGAAAAAAATGTGAGCGAGACACGGCCAAGGCACTGTGTGGCACAGAAGGCGTCATGCATGTTTGCCAGCAACAACAGCACGGCGCGGCGCGGTCGACGGAAGAAAAAACTAATACGCACATCCAATGGCCGCGTCGAATCGAACCCCAGCTCGTGCATCGGCAGCAAGACCAAATTGCATTCGTCAATGCCCGTCAAGCGCGTCAAGGCCCATCGCAGCGTAAAGACCTCGGTTTTGGGCGTTGCCGGGAGTACAAAGCTCGAAGGGCGTCCACAGCGTTCGAAACCGGGCGGCGAAATGACGGTGATGTGAAAGAGCGTAGGATCAGGCGTCAGGTGCAGTTCAATCTCGTTTGCGGCGCCGAGCAGCAACCTTGGCTTGCTCGCGCTGGACGATTGCTGACCGCCACGAACTGCGAGGCACTTGTGCTGTGTGGAAATGCCGAGAGACTCGATGACCTTGTATATGTCCGACTCGGTCAAGCTAGAGTGGAGCATCGCGTGGCGCGGTGGTTGTGTGCCTTGCCTGTCAAAGATGGTGGCCTAACGCCAAAGGCAAACTTAGGGTTAGCAAACACAAACAACCAAGAGCGAAAAGGACGGCCCGGCTCTATGGCACACCTTGACAGGGGTCCGTGCGAGCCAAGGCATCGCGCCAACGCCGTGGTAGGACACCTGCTGACTGTCGGCTTCCGATCCCATGTTTATCACACCAAAAGACAGCCGCACGGCGTCCGAGTAGTGGCCCGTCAGGCGCGCGACGTGGTTTCTGAAAACGCACCACAACACGATGATTGCGTGAGGTTGCCAAAGTGGGCCAAAGACGCAATACCATGTCGGCGCTTGGCCAAGACGCGGGCGGCACCTGACATCAGCCACGGTTCTACAAGAGGGTGGAATAGCGAGGAAGCGATTCTCGTTTGTCCAAAATACGGCAAGCTCCTTGGCGGTTGACATGGCAGAAAAGAGACACGCTGGCCTGCACGATGAGGGCGCCAAGAGCATGGCAACAGGACGCAGCAAAGCGCCACAATGAGCCACAGTGTCCAAGTGATGCACAGGCAAACGCACAACCTTGAGCAAAAGGAAAGGGTCGTTTGGTTGCGACTTTGCTCCTCGGCCAGGCAGAGAGTCGAGAGGGCAGTTTAGGGCTTTTGGCAGCAGGGCAGTGGCGATGTGCATGATGGACCACGCTGCGCCAGGCCTCTTTAATGCCAAAGTTTGAATGCAACTTTTTTAATAATATAATTTTTTATGTTGATGCGTTTGTGTGGGTCAGCCCGCGAGCGTCAAGGCAAAGCGAATGCGGCAGCGCCGAGCGCTGGCTCAGCGAACACTGTTGCTGTGGCAGCATAAGGGGCCGCCTTGGTGCTAAAGTCAACTCGCTGGCCTGTTGCGGGCGGCCGCACTACCAAATCAGAGGCAACTGGCGGGCCGTGCCCTCCCCTTGGCGAGCAACATAACAAACTACGGCGCGCCCAGTGCTTCGCTCCACTTTTGCACAAAAGAGCATGTATTCGAACACAAAACAAAAGTCGGCGGGCAACGCCAAGGTTTTGCATTGGCAAGAATGTCAAGAGGCGGCATCCCGCGGGCGCAAGAGGCGAAAGGTGATATTGATGCGCACGCGATCAGCTCGCTTGGTGCTAGTGCGCTTGGGCACGCAGTGCTTGTGGGTGGCCTGCGTGGTGCCCATCATGGCCAACAGGCTGCCGTCGGCGAGGTCTACCGAGGTGTCTGGCGAGTCGCGCGCGTTGGGCCTCAGACAAAAAGTGCGCACGTCCCCGAGAGACACGCTGGCAATGGTCGAACCGGGCTCGATGTCGCGCTCCTCGTCGGCGTGCCAGCCAATATAGTCGCGGCCCGATTCGTACATGTTGCACAGGGCAAAGTTGAACCGCTGGCCCAGCAGTTGCTCCAGCTTGTCGCGCACGGCCTCCAGTTCGCGGGGCCAGGCGCGGCTGGCGCGATCCATGCCGGCATATCGGTAGGCCGTGCCCGCGTCGCCAAAGGCACACACCTTGCGCGGCGAAAGTACCTCCTTGCCATAGATGCGTAACTTGTCGCGCGTCCAAACGTCCTTGTCTCGGCACAACAAGGCCAACAGCGCGCTGCTTTCCGCGGGCGTCATAAAGTCGGGCTTGTAGACGACTTTGGTCTCGCCTTGGCAGAGTATGACCTGGGCGCTGTCCATGCTGGCTTTGTCGGCGCCACGCACATTGCAGACTCGGCCAGGCACCAAGGTGGCGACCGCGCATGGCCGCTTGGCGGGGGCCGATTTGGCCTGTTGCGCTGATTGCGGCTCAAGGGTCTCTCGTCCTCTTTTGTGCGACATGGTGAAACGGCGTCTGCCGAGGCAAACGACGCTGGTATGATAACGGCGGCACAGCGAGCCAAGCGGCTTTTGCCTTTTAATTTATATTAAATTAAATTACACCGTTCTCAGCTGTCCGTCCCGCCACCGCACGCCCGCCGCTCAAAACTTGAACAGAGGCGCGCCGGCGCAAAGCTTTCATTTCTATCCCACCGCCCTCGCCGATGGAGCAGATGCGAGCCGATATGGAGTCTCTGCGCGAGCAGTGGAGCGAAATACAAGCCCGAGCCGCCAGCGTCTATGCCGATGCGGCCTCCCTGAGGCAGCAGATCAATGACCTGGAGGAGCGCCTGATCGAAGCCGCCAAACGCGGCGACGCGGCCCATATAGAGAGCCTGTCTGCTCAAGTACGGCTTGACCAGTTGCACCCGCTAGAGACTATTGCGCTGCACCACAGCCCTCCGTCGGTGGGCATGCTCGTCAAAGGCGGCCCAATGTACTTTGCCATGCAGGATATTGCCACCGGCGCCGAGCCGCATGCCCTGGTCGGCTCTGGCGCTTACAAGGCGGCTCATCGCGCCACCATCGCTGCTCTCAAGTCTGTCATCGAGCGTGTCGTCAAGGCGCAATACACGGCCCAGGTGAGCACAGAGACTCACCGAGACCGGGTGCCCCCAAACGCCGACTATGAATGCCTGCACGACGAATGTGTAAGAGTGCTCGACACAGACGGCCACACGTGGAGAGCGATCGAGTCGTGGGAGCTGGCCAACGACTATCTAAGCCGCTACGGCCGAAAGGGCAAATTTGACGTCCAGGACGAATACCTCGCCTGGGTCAATGCGCTCAAGGGCAAGCGCACCAGCGACCGCCACATCGAGCGGACTCTGTATGGCCTGTGCGCTGTGGCGACGGTAAGCGAAGAGGCCTGGCTGGTATACTTTAAGCCGACAAGCCACGGCGACGACAACGACAGAGACGACAAGCGACAATAGCAGCAGCAACAGCAATAACGGCGGCAAGAGCCATGACAAACGCGGCTCTTACTACCGCTGTTGCTTGTTTGCCTACAATAGGCAACCAACACCGCGTTTCACCGTGGCCAACACGACAATAAATTGTCCTTGCCTGGCATACACCGATGCCCGTTGGTTGCGATAGGCCGACCAAAAACATTGTTTATATGTTGGGCTTAAACAAACAAGAGGACAGCTGCGGCGCTGCGCAGTCGTTTCTTATTTTTTGCAAACGTTTTGCAACGGCCTCTTTTGGCCAGCGCAAACGACCAAGCCCGCGCGATCAGGCCTCGTGGTCGCCCGCCAAAGAGCAATCCTCGGCGCCAAACTGCGCCTCCACGACCTGTACCGAAGCGCGAGTCTCTGCGGCAGGTGGACAGCGTCGCAAACGTCCACACAGATGCCCGTGAGTATGATGGGAACCGAGAGTGCGCACCAGGTGGTGGGTAGCTCGTGGATGGAGCCGGCCGTGAACACCACCACCAGCACCTGCGCGATCCAGCACGCGCAGCGCACCGCGCCTTGTGGCTCGTAGAGCGCCGGGTAGAACCACAGGAGCAGGTAGGGGAAGAGGTTGGCTTCAAGCCCGTTCTTGCTCTGGTAGGGTAGGGTCCAGGTGAGGTGGGACGGCCCGGTCCGGGTGCACACCTGCGGTCCGACCATGATCTCGTCGTTGCGCAGCACGCTGTAGGTGCCCGCGCGATGACGGCAAAAGGTCAAACGGCAACAGGCGCAAGCTAAAGAATACGGCCCACACGATCGACATGCTGATGGCCGCCGTAAACACCGCTGCGGCCTCACGAGCCCGCACCGCGGCAGCCACATCGTTGGTGCGCGACGTGTACGAGAAGTTTGCGTCTCCATGATGGCGTAGAACGCGATCGGCCCCAGGTAGGGCGGCACGGCCCGTTGGCCGTCGGTCCTCTTGGTGCGTGTAAGCCATGCGACGGCGACCCAGCTGGCGAGCGCCAGCGATACCGAGAGTGACTGCGAGTAGCACATGGTGTCTTGGCCGAGAGTAAGGGGGAATGGCTGCGCCAAGAGATTGCACGCACTTGGTTATGGTGGTTTGCGCTGCGATCAGTTGCACTTTGCCGGTGGGCATTTGTTTCCCTGAAGGAGTGGAGTTTGGTTCCGCCTGCGGCGTGTGTGCGTGTCGCCCGCAAAGGTCCTGTCAGTGTCGCACTTTGGGAGGTGGAGCATGGACCAACGCCTGAATCCGTGTATGCCAGCCGGCCGCGTTTGCCATGCAGCCCGCAAAAAACAAACAAATTGCGCAGCCGCAGCTGATAGCTCGCGTTGCTTTCAACACACACAAAAAAACAGAACGGAGGGGAGGCCGTTGGCGTGCCGGTGGCTGTTTGAAATGGGGCAGCGGCGGCGGCTTCTGTCAAACGGCATGCGGCGGCATCGGATGTGGCACCGCTGCATGCTGCGTCTCGCGATTTAATAAGATGGAAGCATCAGGCGCCCATGATGCAGGCGGCTGCCCAGTGGCAATATATACAAGAACGAGCGCCTCTTGTCCGAGGTCGACCAGTTGGGACGTTGGACACTCGTCGCACTCGGGCGTGTGAGGAACAACGTAGACCACGCCGTGTTTCGTCACGTTGACGGCAACGGCGGCTTTGGCATAGAGGTAGTAGTAGGCGGCCGTGAGCGAGATGGCATTGTCCTCACTCGTAGTTCCGGGCAAGAGGCGCGCTGACAAGGCACAGGTCTTTTGCTCACGCGCTTTGCCAAGCACGTCGCGCATGGCATCCCAGCTCATCGTGTCTTTGGGCCGGATATGCAGCTCTTGATACACGGCATCGGCCATGGCATGCCACTGGACGCAACAGAGACAATCCAAACCAATATCAACATGAGCCACAGAACGCAAACGCCAGAGGGAGAGAGGGAGAGAGAGAGAAACACAAATAAAACAAGAAAAGCATAAACCGGTCCCTGCAACCCACGCCATTCCATGCAGAAGCAGCGGCGGCAACAACAGCAGTGGTAGCGGCGGCAGCAGTGGCAGTGGCAACAGGGGCGCCAAAACAAAAGCAGATGTGGGGGCAGCCGAAAAAACACAGTCTTGGCGCACCGTGGAGGCAACACCCGGCAAAATGGCCGGCCATAGCGCATCCACCGAAGCCATGCCCACTTGCAACGCAGCACCCACAGCTTCAGCGGCAATCTGCAGCCGCATGGCGCCCAAAGATGGCGGCCTGGTGCGCGTTTTGCGCGCCAGCTGTATGTAGACAATCTCGCGGTCGTGCGGCAGAGCGTCGAGCGATCCAATGGCAACAAGAGGCAGGGCACATAGCCGGCAGCGGTAACGCGCAATCGCAGCTTCGTCGAGCCTGCTTCGAGAGCCGTAGGCAATGTGACACGGCTTTTGGTGCATCTCGGTGACGCTAAGGCAAGCATAGTGGTAATCATACACGGCATGGCACTGGGGGTCGCCGCCGATGACCAGGTCGGGCCGTTTCTGCTGCGCGATGGTGACCCAAAACGCATAGCGCAAGCTGCGCGTGCCCGACGGCTGGTCGTCGATAAGAAGGACCGCGGCGTGGCACAGTTGGTGCACCAGCACGACAATCACCTTGCGACCGTCGTCGACGAGGCGCGGGTTGAGCTCGACGGCATACCGACCCTTGGCGCTGCACAGCTTGACCCTGCCGGGTCGCGTGCGCAGGCGATCCTCCCATCGGACCTTTATGGCATGTATCGGCAGCCGGCCGTCAAAGATGCTTGCATTGAGTGCGCCGGCGAGAAGTTGCAGTTCGGCCTCGTCGCAAAAGGGACGGCGCGCATTTGGATGCCGCGGCATGTTTTAATGCACTTGTTAGAGTGGTGCAACGCTGGCGGGGTTCGTTTGGCGCCGGGAGATGCGACGCGTAGCGCAAGTCAAAGTGGTGCCGCTGTGATCGCCTCGTGGAGTGGAACAGCCGGGGCAAAGTTGCTCGGCGTGCAGCGCAGTGGCAGTGGTGCAAAAGGCTGCGCGTGTGTGTTGGCGATGATAGTAAACTCCCGCAGCCCCGCCTTGGCTTTTCACCATGCCAGGCCCAAATGTTTATATAAAAATGTTATTATTTATTAGTTAAACTATATAGGAATGGCAGACGTGCCGTTGGCATGGGCTGTGTCGCGCTCTGCAAACACTGCGCGCTGCATTGTTTGTGAGCAAAGCGTCGATCCATCTCTGTGTGTCTGGTCCACAGAGAGGGAGCGAGAAATCGACGTTGCTGCCTGCCGCTGCCACTGCTACTGCTGCTGCGATCGCGGTTTGAAAAAAATACATCAGCTATAATCAACACTGCGCCAGACACATGCGGCGCACGCCAAACGCGCTGTTTTTGTCTATCTGGCGCAACAATCAGCAATAGACATACACGCAGACAAGGGAGAAAGGAAATTGCGGCCCAGATGCACTTGACCGCGCACTATGCTTTGGGCGGCTCCAACACCACCAAGCCCCAAACAAGTCAGCCACATGCGCACACGCAACGGCTCACCGCCGCTCTTACAGCATGGGCCATGGGGGTACCGTTTAGCGTCCTGCGAGACACGACGGGCCTTGTTACCAGAAATCGCAGGCCATGCAGACGCGCCAGGGCGTGTGCCAACAGCAGCAAGAGAAGCAAGAAGAACAACAGCAGCAGTGCGAACACCGCTGTTTGGTTGGGCACGATGACCACGCCAAGGAGCGCAAGATGCGCACCGAGGCCGAATGGATCATGGAGCGCGCCGTGATACGCCGCATGTGCCATGTGCTCGTGGTACTGTGCTTGAGCGACGACACCTTTGACCCCGTTCACCATGTGCTCCACATCGATACCGATAATGCGGTCTTGCGCTGCGCACTCCATAATGCAGCACGCGAGACCGGCATATGGGGGCTAGCCGCTAATTCGGCCCGCGAGCTCGCGCTGGACAAAGCCGAACAAGCCGCGGCACGCCTGCTCGGCGTTGAGTGGCACATTGCCGAGCGATGTCTGGCCGACTGTCTCGCCGAGACCAAAACACCAGCGACACCAGCGGCGCCTGGTTCTTGAGTGCTGCCGCTTCCGCAACAAAAGAGAGACAGCTACCTACGATGTAAATGGATACGCAAAATGCACCTTCTTTTTTTGCATGACACTATTTTGCAACAATGGGCAAGAGTTCAGGCACCGCGCGCAGGAGTAAAGCACCGGCAAAGGCATCGCCATGCGAGCCAGCGCAGTAGGCATTCAATCTGAGCTTCAACAGCCACAGCAGGCGGGTGATATCGTCGTTGCAGCTGCACGTGACGACACATTGCCGGTTGAGGCACTGTTCCACGAACGTTTCCACAAACGGCTTGAACCACGGACGATCAAAGGCCAGTACGATCAACCGCGAATCGAGTTTGCTAATTGCAAGATTCGCGGCAAAACCCAGCCATTGGCGGTAGGTCAGGCCGACTTGGCCGCTGGCGATCCAAACGACAGCGCTTGGGTTGGTGTAGCAAATTTTGTCTGCACTATCGAGCCACTTTTGTATCGCCGGCCCGACATCGATGTTGTTGCCGGCGGCATCGCAGTCGAACTGTACCGCGCTCGACCTTGTTTGCTGACATTGCGCGCACGTGTCCTCTTCTCTCGCGGCCGCCACGGTAAAAAATGGGTTCCTCGCATTGGCAGCGTCACGTTCGGCCAGCCACGCAATCATTGCCGTATGGTTGTTCTCCAAAAGGGCGTGGTAGGTGCGATCAGACACGCAATATAGCGCTGGCTGACTGGGTCGGGCCGACGTTGCACCAGGCCGAACGTGTTGGTCGGCGGCAAAGGCCGCCATATTGCAGCGCGTGCATTGGGCGACCTCTTGGTACAGCACCAGCATCTCGGTGGCAAAGGCAATATCACCTGTCATGCAGACATTGAGCAGCTCGTCCGTCCGCGTGTGCTGAGAGGAAGATAAATGGTGCTGTTCGAAGTGATGCCACAAACCGCGCAGTCGAATCCAATCTGCCGCCCACCAGCTAGGTGCCAAAGCGAGCACGGTGTGCACCATGTCTGCGCCGGCGCGACCGCAGCTCATGGCGCTGCGCAAAGCATCCCTCGGCAGAGTCCAGTGTATGTCAAACGCGCGGGCAGAGGTCTCCAGGCGCCGGGCATAGTCGTCCGCTTCTGATCCTGGATCGGCGCATATCGCCCGTGCGACCATGGTCCACCACTCGCCATCCTCGCTCGACGACGGCGCCTCGCCGTCGGCATTGGCCGGCAATGGGTAGGCGCACCGCAAGCATAAGCGCCAGCGCTCCACCAAGTCTGCCCTTCCGAGTGCAATGGCGGTTCGCACGGCCTTGCGCCATGTTTTTGTCAGCCGCCGCGCAGGTTGGTGTTGGGCATCGCACGGCTCTTGCGCATAGGCAGCTTCCCCGTCGCTTGGCGCCACGGCCGCAGTGGCTGGCCAAAAGTCATGAATGACGCCCATGGACGTAAGACGCTCAAACAGAACTGGATCGGCCGGCTTGACGCTTCTCGCAATGTCCGATGCCGATGTGCATTCGAGCTGCCGGATAGCCCACAGTAGCTCGGCATCGGAAAGGGCGTTTGGGCGTTCGAGCAGTTCGACAGAGACGACACGGGCAGAAGGGTCGGCGGGTTCAAGCACCACCTGGCGCACGTCGGTGCACGCACTCGAGAACAGGCCAGTAGGCTTCATCAATGCGCTGGTCGATGGCGAGATCGAGCGTGGCCGCAATCAAGCCCGAGTATTGATTGCCGGCGCTGTTACTTTCGTTCATGGCCCTGTTGGTGCCGGCTCTGGTTGGTGTCATCTTGTTGGCGGAGCTGGCAAACACGATGCAGCGCAGAGGACAAACAGTTGCGGCCGACCCACGACGGCCGAGCAAAGTGCGAGTTTTGTGTGTAAAGTTGTTGTTGTGGCAATGTGAATCACACACTTTGGTCTACCGGGGCTGGCCTTGGCAAATGCGCCCTCTATTTGCGCGCAAATGTCACACGCACCTGGCTGTTTGGACGGACCGCTAGAGCGCGGCGCGACAAAAGTTTATTGCAGCCGCACGGCGCAATGCCAATTGCAGCCATACGGTGCAATGCCACTCGAGGCCAAGAGACAATATATTTGCAGTTACCCACGCGCATCATACGAAGCTATTGCTGTTGCTACTGCTTCTGGCATCCGCCATGCAAACAGCAAAAGCACCAGCAGCACCAACACCAGCGCCGCCATCGCCCACAACAACAGCAACAGTAACTGTGCAACTGCGAGGACGAGTTGTCAATCCGGGCCGCCGACCGAGCGCCAAGCGAGCTCACACAAAGGCTGCCTCTTCTCAACCCGTGCCCAAGCGCGCGCGGTTCTTTGGGGGCGACGAAACCAAACAAGCAACACGGCTGACGATGGTGAGCCTGTTTTGCGGCGCCGGCGGGCTCGACCTGGGGTTTGAGCGCGCCGGATTTGTCGGCCTGCTGGCCGTCGATAGCAATCGCGATGCCGTCGCTACATACCGCGCCAACCTGCGCGACGTGGCCGCCCTGCAAGATGTGCGCACTTTTAGTCCTGCAGCTGACCTCCTAGCGAGCGGCTGCGACGTGGTGGCCGGCGGTCCGCCGTGCCAGGGCTTCTCGATCGGCGGCCACATGCGCACCGACGACTGTCGCAGCGAGCTGGTGTGGGAGTTTGTGCGCGTCGTGCGCCAGCTGTTGCCGCGTGCCTTTGTCATGGAGAACGTGGCCGCGCTGGCGACACACCCCAAGTGGCACACCGTGCGCGACAAGCTGGTGGCCGAGTTTGCCGCCGCAGGTTATGCCGTCGGGGTCCATCTCCTCGACGCGGCACACTCGTGGCGTTCCGCAAACGCGCAAGAGGGCGTTTTTTGTGGGCGTGCTGGCGAACCTTATGCCACCAGGTGCCTCCATCGAGGCTGCCTACGCTGCTCGTCTTGCTCAAGCGCGTTTGGAAATGGGCGTCGGTCCAACGCCTCCCACGGTGCGCAATGTCTTGGCTGGTCTGCCACGGCCCGGCGTGGCGCCCAACACCGCACCGTGTAGTGCCCGTGTGACGCTGGCAAAGCAACCGCAGTTGCGCGCAACCCCTTACGCGGGCCTGCTCTTTAACGGCGGCGGACCGCCGCTCAACTTGGATGCGCCGAGCTGCACCCTGCTCGCATCCATGGGCGGCAACCGCACCCCGATCATCGACGAGCGCGCTCTCTACGACGGCGCCGTGCCTTGGGTGGTAGAGTACCACGCCGCCTTGACCAGCAAACAGAACGTTGGCTGTGCGACAGACTCTGGCGCTAGCTGCGGGTCCATCCAAGATAAAAGCCGGGCATCCAAAGCCGACAGCAGCTGCACGGCCGAGACCGTTACCAGCGTCATGCTCGCTCATGGCAGTGACTTTGTAGCCACCCACAGTGGCGGCAAAATGGCCGCTCATAGTGACGGCAACGTGGCCATCCATAGCGACTACAGCTCCATGTTGGGGGTCGATGACGATGCCGGGAACACACACAAGGGGTGCCACAAAGCAAAGGCCAATGTCGAACAACACGCCACCGGCGCTGTGCTTGCTGCTGCAATCAAGGGCAGTGGCCGCGCCAACAAAGAACGTGAATGCAAGCCATGCTGCCAAGACGCCATCCGTGCCAAAGACGCGCCAACCGCGCAATCGCCGCCGGCATGGGTCCCCCGGCTGACCGTTGCCGAAGCCGCTCGCCTGCAAGACTTTCCCGAGGGCTATAGCTTTTGCGGCGCACAATCATCCCAGTACAGGCAGGTGGGCAACTCTGTGCCACCCAAGCTGGCGCAGGCCGTGGCGCTTGCCTTGCGTTTTGTCCTCGACAATGATCTGCTGCCGGCGAAAGCATGACGCTACACGGCAGCATTGGATGCAAAAGATGGCCGCAGAGAACGGCCATAAAGACTGGCCATAAAGAATAGCCACAATTGTTGCGCCTGCGGCATGTCGCTGTGCCAAATAAAGCTTGCGTCAACTGCGATACAAAGGCGAGAGCGCATAATGGCCTGTATATTGTTTGTGGCTGCAGCAACTCGCGCTCTGTACGCCGAGCAAGCGACAACAGGTACAGCCTCCTTGCCGCTCCTGCAGACAATGTTGCTCGCAACAAAAGCCTGGGCATAGGGCGAGGATAGTCGCCGCTCTGGTGTGGCCCGCCCCATCGCGTCATCTTGGATTGCGCCTTTGGCGCAAAGGGCTGCGAACGCTTGGGCCGTATTCGCCCACATGCCGGCGCCATCCCTAGAGATGCAATACCCAAGCGCCCAAAGGTTTGCCGGCTTGACTGCCCACACAAAGGGCCGCTACATTCATTTATGTTTTCGCGCCGCGCTGCGATTGTTACTGTGATCTTCTTGCCTACTTGTCACGCCACACAACTCGACCGGCAGAACCTGATAGACGACCGACGCCAATGGAGCCCAAGGATGCCACCGCCAACTTGGTCCCTTGTATTGGCTCTGGCGGCGGGCAAGGTCAGCACACGCCAGCAATACACGCGACCGGCATCCAGCCAGATTATACCCACAATATTGACTATGACGGCAGCAGCAGCAACAGCAGCAGCAGCAGCAGCAACAACAACGGTGCAGACGACGGCGACTCGGACAATCACCACCATCGTGCAGCTTACGAAAGCGAATACAACACGCCAGGCTGGTATCGACATGGCATAGTTGTGCGGGCCTGCGCCTACGGGGATCTTTTTGCGCTCGCCACAAACCACGTGAAGCGCCTATGGTCGGATGCGCATCGCGTATGAACGCAAATCACTGCAAGTCGTGCCGCCTTGGCGTGCCTCACAAAGCAACAACGCGAGTCGCGCGATGAGCAAAGTGACCCTTTGGATTGGGATAGTGGCGAAGACGACGCGCTAAACGACGCGCTGGCCGTCGTGTGGGGTCTCGTCAGTATTGACCCCTACTGCGTTCCCTTTATGACGCTGCTTGACCGATTGCTGCTGCTCTCCGATGAAGGCGTGCCGTTTGCTACGCTCGACAAGCCGCCTCGGCCGCCCAAAGGATCGCCGCATGGTATGTTCGGCTTGCCCTGGACGACTCTGAGACCGCGGCCGGTGCGGACGACACCGCCAACAATATCGGCGGCGGCAGCGATGACCGCGAGCAGGACGAAGACAGCGTACCAAGAGTCAGAGACGACTCGACGCCGCCCGGCGTCTGTATGGTGGCCGCCGCACGTTTGTTTTGGCTTGACGCCGCTCTCAAACCGTCGGCCAGTGCAGACATTGACGACTGGCGATGGCCGGCCCTCTCATATCGCCACCTGACGGCGCTGACCAGTGTCAGAGAACGCTTTGGCTTTGACTTTCTCGGCTACGACCTGGCCGTCATCGTCAACCAATTCGTGGTCTCCTTGGCCAAAACGCCGGCCGCACCGCTCGATGATGCCGAATGGTGCCGCCTGGTCGTATATCTTAACACGCCGACGACGGCGAACGCGTCCAGGCATTAGCAGGCCTGCCTGACCAGCTCCTTGACGCATTCCTTGCCATTGATACTATGCGCATCGCTGAGGAATGACACAAGCGACAAGCCAAGCACGAGTCCTTATAAACTCATTCCTTGTTGGTTTTATTTGAGCCATTGGCGGCTGAGGCAGTCGCGGGAGGCGCATTGGGCGGCGCCAACACGAGAGCAACCGATGTCTCGTGATGAACAAAGTCATTCACTCTGTATAAGCGAGCGCCCGGCAATGACGCAAGCAGGTCGTTACGGTCATGGTAGCGGATGGCCCGGTCGTTGGCCGTCGAAAGTGGGCTTGCCGGTGCTCATTTGCAAATGGCGCGGTGCCGCGCGCACACGATACAGCCAAAAGCAGTCTGCCTCTGTGGGCGCAGACCTATCCCAAGTCCTGCTGCTGCTGCCGCTGCTGCTGCTGCTGTTTCTGCTGCTATTGCTGCTACTGTCGGTAATTATTGATATTAAATAAAACAATAAATAAACTCATTATATATTGCTCGTGTGTGTGTTTGTGATGGCTGGTATGTTTAAAAGAGGCGAGCCACGGGTTGGCGTCTGTACTGCTCCATTTCGTCCTTGCTCGTCCAGGCAACTACTGCGCGAGCCGCTCGTTCTCATTTGATCGGCGCATACTCTATAGGCCTGAGCAAAGGCTCCTATGACCCAGCGCGAGCTCGTCCGCTTCACCATAGCGTGTCTACCACTCCTTCTCGTTTTTATTATCGCCATGCTGGGCCTTGGCGCGCGCAGTGCAAAAGCCTGTCGGGTCAAAAAATGGTTTTACTCTGATGTGAGCCACGCTCGAAACTTGGACAGAGCCTCGGCCGCCGTGGGCCTATGTCGCGGGTTGCTCTGCATAAGGGCTGTGATCATGGCCCACGCTT